GGGGAGGGCAGATGGGAGGAGAGAAATTTAGGGTAGGGGTGGGGTATGCCATCCAGGAGGGCCCTGTAACAGGCAGGGATAGAGGAATGCCGGGAGGACCTGGCACTCATTGTCCAGTCTGGTGTGTTAAATAGGCACATTCGCTCTTTGTCCTGGGTTTGAAACCTAACAATTGCACCATTTCCTGCCCTGTTATATTGAGAACCAGGCCCAAAGTCACAGGCCTCTAAATTCCAGCCGCCTGGGAGATTGAAGCCCAGGGATCACAAATTGAAATCCAGCCTGGGCAATGAATGTAACAGGAGATCCTATCTTGAAATACAAAGTTAAAAAGAGGGCTGGGGATATAGGTCAGTGGTAGGGTGCTTAGCACGCATGAGACTCTGAGTCCCAGAACTACCAAAAACATTTTAGGAAAGAAAGTGGCCATCCCAATAACAGAAATGGTTTTTTTTTTGTTCTCCCAGAATTAGAATACCCACAGTGTTTTGTTGTGTACACTCAAAAATGTTTTACTCATCATTTTTCGTCTGCATTTCAGAAGCATCTTTGGTGTACTATATTGGGTCCAACTTCTTCAAATTCTGCAGCAGTGATCCACATGTCTTGGAAGGCAGACAAAGATGCAAGAATAGACCCCCCCATCCACACTGATATTTTCCTCTCTGGGGGAGCGATAACCTGCACAGGGGTATTGGCCGGTGCCATCTTTGCCACATCCTTAATCAGTCGCTTGTCTAAACCAGGGAAAGTGGTGGATCCTCCAGCAAGGATAATATTGGAGAAGAAGGCATTCCTGAGATCTGTGTCGCAATTCATGATGCTGCTGAGACACATCTTATCAATGCCAGGCGCGTCAACATTCAGAAGCCTTGGCGAGAAGAGGGCCTCTGGGCAACGGAAGACCTGGTTATGGAGTTTGATAGTCTTCCCATCAGGCAGTGTGTACATTTTCTCTAGGCCAGGTTCCTTGGCCATTTCCTCCTCATAGTTCATCGCCACATAACAGATATTCTCCTTAATGTCCGAAACAATCTTTCTGTCCCCAGTTCTAAGCAGCATGACACCATCGTCCTTCAACAACATCATGAGGTAGCTGGTGAGGTCGAGTCCCGCCACATCTAGCTGTTTTACACCGTGAGGTAGACAGTAACCCTCAAAGACCGGCACACACTGAGTAATCCCAGCACCTGAATTCAGCACCAGGCCAGTGGTGAAGCCGGCAGCAAAGAGTGCCAACACAGCCTGGACAGACAGATAGAAGGCAGGGACGCCCAGGTTTTCAAAGAACACTTCAGAGATGTGCTGCCGGTCCAGCAGCGGGTTCAGTGCAGGCTCTGTAACCAAGACTGGGCCATCCCTGGGCTTCAGGTTCAGGCTACAGTCATAAATATGCTTCCACATGATCTCCATGTCCCCCCAGGAAGAAATGAGGCCCCGGTCCACCGGATAGCTGGAGGGAGAACAATAAGATACGTAAGGCTTGTGCTTTTGTGGTTGTTGTTAATGATGGTTCTTAGATTTTATATAAATTATATATATGAATTATATAATATAAATATATAATTAATATATAATAGGATTTATATACATAATATGTTATATATTGTATATAAATATATATTATATATATTAAATTTGATCGTTCTTGTTTTGATTCACTGTTACTGCATAGCCCTGGCTAAGCCTAGAATTCAATTTGCAGACCAAGCTGGTCTGGAATTCAGACTCTTGCCTCTGCTTCTGCTGGGATTAAAGGTGTGCTACATAGACCTTTAATATGTGTCCTCTCTGGTCTGTTTCAGCTAATGTGAGTATTGATCAGTATTGCTTTCTGGTCAACAACAGAAGATAAACGCCAGTAAATGGCTACCTTTCTCTACAGGCATTTTGCTTAGCCAGTTTTTTTCCTCTTTGGAGAATGTGACTTCAAAAAGTTGGGAAATTTCCACATTCTGGTAGAGTTGTAAATAGTTCAAGAGACCATGCCAAAGCTATAAATTAAGTCACATTCTTAGGCGGACACATATACATTTGAATACATTTGTGTAAAGAGAACAGAGGTTTTCGTGAGGGGGTTTCTCTCCCTGGTCCTTTCAGGGTGGCTTTAGCTCTGGACTCTCCGCCCTCTCCCACACCCACCCAGGCTGCAGCATCTCCTGGTACCTGATGGACAGGTAGCTCCTGCGCTCCTGAGCTTGGTCACCCACACACAGCTCCAGCGCGCAGTCCACTGCAGTGTTGTGGCCCTTGGCCCGGCCCAGAATGTTCGGGTAAACGAACTGGGGCTCCCGGGTCCCAGCCAGGCCCGCCTTGATCATTCCCGAGCCACTGTCGATCACCACCGGTGGCTGGTAGCCGCTCATGTCGCCGGCGCTGCTGCCTCTGCGGCATAGGGGCCGCCCCTCCCGAAAGGCCAGCGCCCGGAGCCCCGCGTCACAGAAGACCCAGCCACCCGCCGGCCCGTGTGGCCGCTTCTCTGGGCTGAGTCTCACTGCAGCCGCTGGAAACTCGTAACCTGAACACCAGAAAACCAGGCCTCCCTCGCGAAACATACGAAAGCTCACGATTTGCGAGGAACTTTCTAGAAAACTATAACAAGCTATTAAAAAAAATGACTGTCCCAAAGTCCTTGAGTTACCCGGAGTGTTTCTGGGTCAAGGGGAGACCCTTGAAACCGGGGGATGGCCTGGGAATATTGCAGGAACGCTCAACTTCGGGGGGTGCTGGGGTGTGAAACGAATTTATGTCCTGTAGGTATCGTAGATAATGCCACGTCTTTCCTGTAGTTTCTAAAGGTGTACGCAATTAAAAGGGCAGAACGCTTTTGGTTGTTTTGTAAGACATTTTATCAATGCTGGCCAAGATAACTCACTAGAATTCCCCTCTTCAGCCTCTGAGTTCTGGGGTGCTTAGCTTCCCCTCCTTCCCCCATCCTCTTTCCCATTCCTCATTTCTTCTTTCCTTCTTTTCCTCTTCTTTTTCATCTTTTTGGATTCTATCTCTAGGTTCTCTGAAGCGAAGCTAATTTTCATTTCCTGGGGTTGATTTTTAGAAATAAGGACACGTCCGTCAGTTGGTAAGAAAAGAAATTCCTTAGATTATTATGAAGTTCAGTTCAGAAGAAAGTACATTGCGCGGCAAACAGCGTCTTTGGTGTCTGATCTGGCACATCTCTCATCTAGGGGTTTTAAAATTGGCACAAATTAGGACCTTTGGTAAGTATTCGGAAGCAGTATTGGGGAAGAAAATGTGATTTACACGTCCTCCCACCAGAAGCAGGCCGAGGGGAGGGGACCCTGGCAACTGCGCGCCACAGTTTCTCCAGCAGGAGAGCGTAACCTGCCAGAACTGAGTCGAAAACTAAACAAAAGGGCCAGAAACGAGGGTGCCTGGTCTCTAGCGGCAGGAGTTTGCAAACAAGTTCAGACTTTGAAATAGTTTCTTTCAGCACCATTTAGCTAACGATGTGACCCCCCCCCCCTTCCCCACTGAAAATTACATGGATCTTCTAACATTTGCAAAGCGTATATGAGAACATCACATATCAAGAGCCATTCACCAGCCCCGGCCAGCTGGGTTTCCGTAGTGTAGTGGTTATCACGTTCGCCTAACACGCGAAAGGTCCCCGGTTCGAAACCGGGCGGAAACACACTTTTTTTCCCTTCCAGCTATTGCTTGTTGTCTGGGCTTTTCAAAAGCTAGGCTCTCAAAACCATGACGATAAATCCTGCAAGTGGCAACTTGCCACCCGGGGAAATACGCTAAGAAATCTGTTTTTATTCAACTATTTTAATGTTGAAAACAAACACCCCGAGAACACCAAGCAAAAAGTACTGATGAGGTGGCTGTTGATCCACCAGCCAAATAAAACCAACTGTTAGCTCTATCGCCTCTGAACACTTTTGTATTAGCCACTTACTTTTTCCTCTTGAGATTCCGCTTTCCCCTCCATTGCCAAACTGTGTTTTATTCTTAATCTGTATGACAAGTTCACTATATATTTCCGAATTAACCCGTTATCGAAAGGAGCCCGACAAAAGGGTAAAATTAAAAATAAATTTATACTCAGAAATATAAAATAAAGTAGCCTCAAAATTATTCTTACTAACACGTCTATGGTTTTATTCACGAATTCTTACAGAGATGTTATAATGCAAAGATTCCGGTAGGGGAAAAGTCTCAGATTCTCTGAGACTGTCTTTTATAATAAGTCATGGGTAAATTCCGTAAGGTCCAAAAACAACTTTTTAAACAACAAAGTTGTGGTTTTTAAGATTTAAAACGTCCGCAGAGTCTAGGGAGGAATCTACCTGAACACATCAAAACTTGCTGGCACTTTCGTGCAGTGCAGCGATAACTGTGCGCTTCTTCCTTTACTGCAGAAAATCTGAATTTGATGTAAATAATTGTGCTAAAATTGTCCAGGTTCAGATGCTGGAAAACCTTTTTCCGGTAGAAAGCCCACCTTCCTCTCATGTTGCGCATGCCCAGTGCGCCCTGCTGGCTTGCTTGGCTTTGGTGCTTCTCTGTCTTCTGTCTGCAGGTAAGGGCCTCCTGGAAGATGAGCGTCAGCGGGCCGGCTCAAGCAGAACTCTGGGGGTCCCAAGAGCTTTCGGGTATGCAAGAGAGGAAGGAGTGATTGGTCTTGACTCAAGCACATCCCTCCCACCGGCCACGGTCAAGAGCCAGGGTGCACAGCGCCGTCGTCGCCACTGGAGGGGCGCTAATGAAGAGAGGATGACAGGAGAGGAAGAGAACTACAAGTCCCAGCATGCAGTGCGCAGCGCGGCTCCCGCAGAGGCCGGCTGTGCACTCGAGCCGGGGGTCGGCCCAGATGCTGCGGGCTGACCAGGTGAGCGTCTGGCGTAGGATGTGAGTGAGCACTGGAAGTGTGTCCCGGCGGCCGGGCATGCCGGGACGGTAGGCCTCTGAGAACCAGCTCGCCCCCCCTGGCGGACCTCGAGTCCTAGCGCCGGTGCCCACCCCGGACCGCACGTCCGGACGTGACGCCGCAGCGGAGGAGGAAGGGAGAGGCGGGGCGCCGCGGTGACGTCCTCCCAAGATGGCGGCGAGAGAGTGAAGAAACTGTTTCCCTTGGGCGGCTACCGGTGAGTGCCGCCCTCTGCCCGGCCCGCGGCCCTCGCGATCTTGGCCCCCGAGGTCCTGCGTGGCCTGGCGCCTCGGAGGTCGAGCGCGTTTCGGGGTGAAGGAGCTGTCCTGGGAGGGGCAGCGTCCGCGGTGGCCGGAGCTGCAGCCCGTGCCGTGGGAACTCGCGGGAGTGCGAGCTGAGAGGAGGGCAGGGCAGCGGAGGCCCGGGCGGACTGGCTTTGGCTGTCACCCGGCGGCTGCCAGGCTGGCCGCGGGCAGGCGAGGGGTGTGTCCGCCTCTGGGGAGTGGCGGAGCCTTTGACAGCCCTCATCTGGTCGGGGCGTTCCCGCCCCCCTAACACCTGCCTAGCGCCAGGGAGGAACCACCCCGTCCAAGCCTACAGGTTTCAGTGACCAGAAAGCAATGAAAACACCTCGCCTCGCGTTCTTAACCCCGCTGCCTCAAGGAGTCATTCCTCAGTTTATTTGTTTAGGCACCTTCAGGTAAATATTTCTTCTGAGCTTGAAAGTTTGAGGGGTCAACTCTAAAAGTTTAGGATTTTAAGACCTTTTTTTTTACAACTCATGAAATCGACTTTGTTCGCCATCATTCATTGCATTTGCGTCCTAGTTCAGTAAAACAAAGAAAGACAATCACCGCGTGTGTTTGATGAGGCTATGCGGGAGGGGGGCGGAGGCGCTAAGTAAGGGCTCACTCTGTTAGTTTAGCCTTTGACCCTTCTCCCCCCTCCCCTACCTCTGCTTGGGTGGACGTCTCATGAAAGCCGATGCTTATTGACTTCACTGTCTCTTCTTGTCTTTCAGATCAAGGGTAAAATTCTGATACCAAAATGCAGTATTCGCACCACTGTGAGCACCTTTTAGAGAGACTGAACAAACAGCGGGAAGCGGGCTTTCTCTGTGACTGTACCGTAGTGATTGGAGACTTCCAGTTTAAGGCGCACAGGAATGTGCTTGCCTCCTTTAGTGAGTATTTTGGTGCGATCTACAGAAGCACTTCTGAGAACAATGTTTTTCTTGATCAGAGTCAGGTGAAGGCTGACGGATTTCAGAAACTGTTGGAGTTTATATATACAGGAACTTTAAATCTCGACAGGTAAAGTACACGTTTTTGCTCAGTTATGAAAGCTAGGCAGATGGCCTTGAGAGCTCCAGTGCATTCATAGTTTCCCATTCACTGCATACTCATCCTCAGTCTTGATGTGCACCATATATACATGCACGTACATATGTGTTTATATGTGTGTATATGTATATGTGTGTATGTATGTATATAAGTATACATACTATATACAATACTCATACACACACATGACTTCAGTAGCTCTGTTTAGGATGAAAAGATGTTTGATAATCACAAAAAACACACTTTAACATCAAGAGTTCTGTCCAGCGTACTTATTTACTCAAAAAAGAAAAGATCTTTATTTGAATTTTGCAAATGTGAATTTTAAATGGTAGATTCTAAGTGAATTTCAGTTTCCCATTGCTTTTGGGCTTCGTGGTCCTCAGGCCTTCTTCTTATGAGGTGTTTGGAGTAGAGTGTTGAAAGGACTACCTCTGGGCTCACATCCTGGCGCCTTCCATTGCAGCTCTAAATAGCTATGCGCAGAGCGTCCTGACTGTGGTTCTAAACCAGCACTTTGTGCGAAGATGAGGAACAAGAACTCTGTTGCTGTTGTTAACCTACCCAGAGCTTAATCAAGCCAGAGGTTTGCTGTGCTTCTCTTAAGACTCTAAGTATTGGGCTCCAGCGACGCCTCCAGTGGCTGGGTGCCAGCCATGTCAGAATGAGTAGCTGATTTTAAGTCCCCAGCACCAACACGAAAGCATTTTTGTAAGAACAGTGCGCCAGGGTGGGCACAGGTGGTTCTCTGGATCCCACTAGGCAGCCAGCCTGCCTGCCTGCCACGCGGTGTCTGTGAGAGATCCTGTCTCATATGAGAAAGTGAGGAGTAGCGGAGGGAGACAGCTAGTGTCAACTGTGGCCACCGCACACAAACACGCGTGCATCTGCATGTATGCGTGCAGATGAATGCACACGTACTGCTATGCCAGAAGACGCTGCTGTCCCTTGAATAGTAGGTTCTTCAGACTCTCGTTGTGCAGATATACTGTGTCCTATTCAAATTAGACCAACAGTGCTACATTCCTACTTGGTAGAGAGGGCAAAAACAAAGGGAATTCGGTCAAATTACGCATGGTTTCTTACACGGAGCATGAACACGAGTAGAGTACTGATTGGTAGAACAGATTTATAAGTCAGTCATGTGGTACAGGCCTTTAGTTCCAGAGTTTGACATGCAGAGGCAGGCGGATCTCTGTGAGTTCCAGGCCAGCTGGAACTACTAAAAGAAAAAAACATTACAGGCATTGGAATTAGATCTTCCTGGCTGGGTGGTTCTATATCTCCTTTAATAAGCCCTTTCTGGGCCTTAGTCTCCTCGTAGATGTGAGGTGGTCATTACTACTGGTATTGCTTTAGAGGCAAAGTGAAGACTTACTTCAAGCCCTACCTTGCAACAAGCCTTAGTTTACTTTATATTTTATATTCTTTCCTCTTTGCCCTGTTTGCTTCTACATTCCTCAAATGAAGATTAGAAGGAGGAAGAACTGCTTCTGCTGCCTGCTGGAAAGCACTGTTTTTGTACACATTCTTTTCCAGGGCACCTCTGCAGATGTATGCATGTACACAGTTGAGATCCTTTCCTTGTGTCTTGCAGCTTCTTATGAGAATGTACTTTTTTGGTTTTTCGAGACAGGGTTTCTCTGTAGCTTTGGAGCCTGTCCTGGAACTAGCTCCTGTAGACCCTGCTGGCCTCGAACTCACAGAGATCCGCCTGCCTCTGCCTCCCAAGTTCTGGGATTAAAGGCGTGCACCACCTGCACCGGTGAGAGAATGTACTTCTTACTCATGCTAGAACCAAAATGCTGTTTAATTTTTTTTTCTGAAAAGGAAGTATTCATGTTTTAGACTTGTTTTATGGGAATAATCAGCAGTGATAAATTAATCTCCCACAGTTATTTAAAAGTGGTAAATAATTGATTAATTGGATGTTTTGATTGATTGCTTCTGGTTAAAGATTGTAGGAGCTCCCCTCCCCCGACTCAGTTCTCTCACTTTCTGAACCATCTGGCACCTGCCCTCTTCATCCAACAACAGCTAGTTGGTGAGTTTTTCTTACTAGCCATCCTGACCGCCCCCAGGACATCAGGTGATGACTGTTGACCATTCTGTGTGCCTGCTCTGCCTTGTGGGGGCGGAAAGATGCACCTCACCATGCTTTCCAATATGGCTGGCAGGCACATTCCATTCAGTTTAGCTTGGCTGGAGGTCATTCTGCTAAAATCCAGTGTCTGTTCCTAACAATTCAACAATTCTGTCAATGGGTCCCTGGGTTTCTTTTCAGATCAATTTGCCTCCTTCTTGGTGGCAGAGCTTGGGTGACAATCCTTTCTTCCCAATGACCTCCGTATTGACCACCCAAGACCCTGGCTTACCAACCACCATTAGTAATGAGATTGGCTCGAGAAACGCCCACTCAAACCCAACATTACCGGTGCACCGTAGCACTCAAGAGTGGCCCTTATATCTCCTAGATTATCAACAAAAGGAAGCTTTGCAGTCTCTGTGGGTATGGAGAGACTGAAGGAGGCTCCCTTTCACTCTTCTCCCTCCTAGCCTTCCTCTCATTCTGCATGTCTCTACTTTCTTCTACCTCTGTGCGAAGCCCTCTTGCACTTACACCTTCTGTTTCCTGTCTTACATCCTATCGAAACTGCTGCCTCCCACCCAGAAGCCAAACTAAACCTTTGGTCCCACCGATAAGCACACCCCCTTCTATCCTCTCTCTCCTCACAGTCACCTTCTGTCCAGTCCCTTCACCCTTCCCTCTGCCTCTCATCTTGGCCCAGGCTGCTCCTCTTGGTTGGCACCCTCCTCCAACTCAGTTTCAACTCTGGATTCTCCCAGATGTCCTGCTTCTGCCTATTCTCTCCCTTTTATCTACAATAAACCTTCTCTTCCACTATACCTAGGAGCGGTCATGTCCTTTTTTATTTTCATTCAACTGCTCTTGCAGTTGACTCTAGTTAAGTTCACAGCACTCAGGGTGACTCACAACTTTCTGTAAGCTCAGCTCTAGAGAAATTTGATGCTCTCTTCTGTTTCTGTGGGCATCTGCACTCAAATTACACTTTCTCTACACATACACATAATTAACAAAAATATATCTATTAAAAAAAACTTACTGTTTCATGTGTATGGGTGTTTGTTTTAGCCTGTGTGTATGTCTGCATCACTTGCATGTCTGGTGCCCATGGAAACCAGAAGAGGGCGTTTTAATCCCCTGGAACTGGATGAGCCACTATGTGGGTGCTAGGAGTGAAACCCAGGTCCTTTGGAAAAGCAACCAGTGCTCTTAATTGCTGAGCCATCTCTCCAGCCCCCCAAAATGAATGTCTTTCTTTCTCTCTGATAAAAAGGAAGGAAAAGAAGCAACATAGTAGAAAATTAAGTGATCTTAAGAGCTAGATTGCCTTGGTTATTTCTTGGTTCTAACAAGTTACTTAATTTCTTTGGATCTCTTCTTGGTGGGGGTGGGGGAGACAGACAGAGTGGGGGCAGCAAGGGAAGGAGGGAGGGCGGGAGAGAATATGTGTTTGTATTGATTAGGATTGAACCCAGTACTTCTTGTTAAGCTACCCAAGCATTCTCTCCCACTGAACTTCCCCAGGCACAGCCCTTAAGAATTGTTATACATAATTAAATGACCTTCAGTGACTATCCAAAAGATCAAAAGGAGTTTGGAAGCACTGTTGCTTAAAACATATCATAAAAAACACCTTTTTCAAAAAAAGATTTGTGCTGGGCTGTGGTGGTACACTTTAATCCTAGCACTTGGGAGGCAGAGGCAGGCGGATCTCTGTGAGTTCAAGGCCAGCCTGGTCTACTTGAGCTAGTTCCAGGACAGGCTCCAAAAATACAGCAAAACTCTGTCTTCAAACAAACAAACAAAGATTTGTTTTACTAATTTTTTTTTTCATGTGTTTGTGGATGGCCTTGGAAAAGGGCACTGGGCCCTTAGGAGCTTGAGCTACTTGGTGTGGGCACTGAGAACTGAACTGTAGTTCTTAAGAGCAACAAGATCAGTCTTTGAAGAAAAACTCTTTTTTTTTTTTTTTTGGTTTTTCAAGACAGGGTTTCTCTGTGGTTTTGGAGCCTGTCCTGGAACTAGCTCTTGTAGACCAGGCTGGTCTCGAACTCACAGAGATCCACCTGCCTCTGCCTCCCGAGTGCTGGGATTAAAGGCATGTGCCACCACTGCCCGGTGAAGAAAAACTCTTGATTGGTTTTCTTCATCCAGTGTCTTAACTGCGATTATAGGCTTTGGAGTAATTTGTGGAGATTATTGTTTTGGCATTATACAGTTAGTATGTGACCTAATGCTATTAGTTTTTTTTAGAGTTTATTTCACCTTATCTGTTTGGTGATTCATTTGATGGAACAGAAAGCACAAATATACTTTGAGATTTAGTTAAATATATTAAGTGGTAGAGTAAACTTTGTTTTTATTCTATGAAAATATATATAATGAAATGCTTATTGTCAGTGGTGATGCTGTAACATACATATAAAGTACATTTTCTGATATATGTTTGGGACACTTACACTTTTATTTTTACAAATGGAGAATTAACTCAATTATAAAGATTCATGATATATTCTAAAAATTACCACAGTGAGCCATAAGAAAATAATTTCTTGAATAATATTTTCTTATGTAGGGGGGAGACTCAGACACAATATATACCAGAAGTTGATATGTAATAAGTTTAAAAACTTGAATGAATTTTCCCACAGAATAAAATATTTTCACTGGAGGAATAGGTTTTCACATTCACTCATATGGCTCTTCAATGAGTTGAAAATGATTGTCATAAAAGACATTTTAAACAGCCAGGAGAACACTAAATGAGGCAAAAGTACAGCACAGTGGAACTCTCGGGGACAGAGTGTGACTAGGTGGGGGTCAGAGATCAGTGCACAGGCAGGACAGTCTTGGAGATTCCAGACAAGTCAATGCACTGATTATTTTTTATTTTGCTTCAAATTTTATCCTCTCTTAAAAAAGCAGTAACAGTATTGTCATCATTTTATGTTTTCAACTGTAATTGGAGCACTTTTACTGAGTTACAAGGAAGAAAGCAGAAAAGAGGCTATGTTAGTGAACCAAGTGACCCTTGGCACAGTGGCAGGCCGGGAGTTTCCTCAAGGGTGTGCATCTCTGTGTGCTTAGATTAGGTTCAGACGTCACCCTTCAACTTCATTAGCAGTTTTTTTTTTTCTTTCTTTTGAGACAGATTTTCTCTGTGGTTTTGGAGCCTGTCCTGGCACTAGCTCTTGTAGACCAGGCTGGTTTTGAACTAACAGAGATCCGCCTGCCTCTGCCTTCTGATGCTGGGATTAAAGGTGTGTGCCACTGCCGCCGGCCATTAGCAGTTAATATCAACTAAACTCTTTGTTTTTACAACCGAGGAATTTTAAGCCAGCAATGTTGCCTCATCCTGGTTAATTCATAGAATGCTAGACCCAGTGCTAAATATAGCAGTCCCCCTTGTCTTGGACTCCCGGCGGATGATCAATTTGACTGGGATGTTGAACAGTATGGTTTGTCTCTCATACAAAGCTAATGTGATACACTTTCCTGGCAGTAAGCTGAGCTAGAGAGAGGTCAGCACATTCAAAACCTTTGTCCCTCCCAGTTGTAATTCATGGGCCAGCTGCATTGACTATCAGGGAGTGCATTGCAGCTGCAGATTCTCTGGCACTATCAGTGATGCCCGAATTTTAGTCTTCATTAACAAGACCCTTCATGATTCATATCAACAATAAAGTGTGAGAAGCATAGTTAAAAATACCTCACAGAGCAGAAAGGGGAAGTGGGAAGTAGTTTTCACTGGCTCTGTTGCCAGTTCAGAAAACTTGACTGAAATCTGAAGAAGCCTCAGAGGAAATGGGAGGAAGCAATATATTGTCAACAACATTAAAAAAAAAATTAGCAGGGCATGGTATGCATGCCTTTCATCCTAGCACTCCGGAGGCAGAGGGAGGTGAATGCTATGAGTTTGAGGACAGTCTGGTCTATAGTGAGTTTCAGGTTAGTCAAAACTACATAGTGTTACCCTATGTGTGTTTTTGTGAGTGCAGATGTACCCGTGTGTACCACAGAATACATGTGGACATCAGAGGACAATTCTGGGACTAGTTTCTCTTTGTTGCTGAGGCAGGGTCTTGTGTCTGTCTCTGCTGTAGGAGCGCTGAGATGCCAGGTATGCACCATCACATCGGATCTTCCATGGGTTTTTGGGTCGTTGGGCTTGCTCAGCTAATGCTTTTACCTGTGGAGCCAGCTTGCTGACCACCCAACAACCATTTTTCAATTCAAATGTTTTTGTTTTGTTTGTTTTTTGTTTTTTTTAAGCAGTCAGAAAATATAACATTTTGTTATTCATCAACATCTATAAGTAGGCATTCTTTTTATTTTTTTAGTATCTATATAATCAGAGATACCTGTTCAAACATTCTGTCAAATTACATTTTATAAATTTGTTACTTAGTTTAAATCTTTCCAGAATTCTGCTTCATTATTTCTTTAAAAGGCATTCAGGGGGCTGGAGAGATGGCTCAGAGGTTAAGAGCATTTGCCTGCTCTTCCAAAGGTCCTGAGTTCAGTTCCCAGCAACCACATGGTGGCTCACAACCTTCTGTAACGAGGTCTGGTGCCCTCTTCTGGCCTGCAAGCATACACACAGACAGAATATTGTATACATAATAAATAAATAAATATTTTTAAAAAAAGGCATTCAAGTGTATGTGCAGTTGCTTCAGGTTTTCCTTTTGATCAGAATATTGTCATCGAGCCTTGTTTCCTTACAGTTGGAATGTTAAAGAAATTCATCAGGCTGCTGACTATCTCAAAGTAGAAGAGGTAGTCTCTAAATGTAAAATAAAGATGGAAGACTTTGCTTTTATTGCTAGTCCCTCTTCTACAGAAGTATCTAGTATTACTGCAAACATTGAATTGAATCAACAGACCTGTCTTCTAACTCTTCGAGATTATAACAATCGGGAGAAGTCAGAAGTATCCACAGACTTAGTTCAGGCAAATCCTAAACAACGGGTATTGGCAAAGAAATCATCTCAAAGTAAAAAGAAGAAAAAGGCTTTCAATCCACAGAAAGCAGGACAGAATAAAGCAGCGCAATACCCCAGTGATGTTTTAGAGAGTGCGCCTGTGGAGCTGTTCCTAGATACAGGTAAGTTGTCCTCACCTGTAGACGAACAAGTCATCCAGGGAAATGATAATTCAGAACTCGAGTTGACCTCAGTTGTGGAAAATACTTTTCCAGCACAAGATATTGTGCAAACTGTTACAGTCAAACGGAAACGCGGCAAGTCACAGTCACACTGTGCTCTGAAAGAACACTCCATGTCTAATATAGCCAGTGTAAAGAGTCCCTATGAACTGGAGAACACTGGCGAAGAGCTGGATCAGCGGTATTCCAAGGCCAAGCCAATGTGTAACACGTGCGGGAAGGTGTTTTCAGAAGCCAGCAGCTTGAGAAGGCACATGAGAATACATAAAGGAGTCAAACCCTACGTCTGCCACTTGTGTGGAAAGGCTTTTACCCAGTGTAACCAGCTGAAAACACACGTAAGAACTCATACAGGTGAGACTGCTTTGTTTTCCTGCTCTGCGATGGCTTGTGTTGTTTTGGTTTATGCTCTGTTTGGTACTAGGGACTGAGCCCAAGGCCTCCACTGAGCACACCCTGTGCTACTAAGTTGCACCTCCATCCAGTAGAGATATTAGCATACAGCATTGATGGCCTTTCCACAAAATTGGCCATGTTCTTTTATTTGTAAAATGTTTTAGCATTAGACTCTTAAAATCTTATTCGTAATTGTAATCAAGTATTAACAGCTTGTTGTTATAAGTTCTAGTGCATCAGGTTCTTGCACCATTTTCTCTTATAAGCATAAACTTGGTCCTAACCCCAGGCCCTAGCTGGATATGGAACCTAGGGCCTTGAACATGCTGTGCAGGTACTCCACCACTAAGCTATAGCGCTTCACCCTTCCATAGATGGCTTTTTTATTTGAGACAGTGTCTTGCTAAGTTGTTCAAGATGGCCTTGAACTTACCTTGTCAGTCTTGGATTTGCAGTGCCTCTGCATCCACTTCCAGAGTAGTTAGGATTTTAGAGCTGTGCCATTAGGCCTGGCTTGCTTCTAGCTTTTAAAGTATTTAACAGAGACAATATCAAAACTCAGTCCAATATTTACATATTACCAATACTTCTTTTTACTTGCTCCTAGACTTGATTGGTTTTTGAACATCGTTCTCTATCAGCTTCTCTGTTTATCTGTTTTATATGGCCTGCTGGCAAAGTGTGAGCATCCATTAGTACACATTATGTTTTATACATTTTTCTTGCCTTTCACTGTTATGATGAAATTTCTTTCCTACTAGTTAGTGTTTTCAGTAGTCTGGAAGGACATCCCATTTGCTTTTGTTACTTAGCAGTTACCATTTTCTTTAAGACAAAAACCAGTACTGTTAGTGCTCTTAAAGCCTTCAAAGTTTATAACTTTAGCAAGTTAAACAGGATTTTTTTTCCTTCCTAATACAAATGTTATTGTTCTTTCAGGGGAAAGGCCATACAAATGTGAACTGTGCGATAAAGGATTTGCTCAGAAATGCCAGCTGGTCTTCCACAGTCGCATGCATCATGGTGAGGAAAAACCCTATAAATGTGATGTGTGCAATTTACAGTTTGCAACTTCTAGCAATCTCAAGATTCATGCAAGGTAAAAAAAACCAAAAAACTCCGAGTTGTTTGATCTTTAAGTAAGTTAATTAGTTAATTATTGTAATTTAATGAGTACTTTTTTTTTGTTTTTTGAGATGAAGTTTCTCTGTGTAACAGCCCTGGCTGTCCTGGAACTCCCTCTGTAGACCAGGCTGGCCTCGAACTCAAGGAGATCCACCTGCTTCTGCCTCCCGAGTGCTGTTATTAAAGGTGTGTGCCACCACTGCCTGGCTTGGGTGGGCTTTGTTGTTGTTGTTTTTTGGGTTTTTTTTTTTTTTTGGATGAGTACATTTTTTTATGAGTGCCCAGAGCAAATCTCATGTTACACCATGCTGCTGATTTTATGCTTGCCCTACCGAGATTTCACCTTGCTTTCATCTTCCTTGCATTTCCTCATTCCTCTCTTTTGGAATGGGAGTTGTGCTGTAGAATGTGTGCAAGCTGTGTTTTCATTTTTACAAGTGCTCACAACTCAGTTGCCCCAATCTCTAAGACTGTAGACCTGGACTTCTGAGAGATTCTCTGACTCTTAGAGATAGATGAATGCATTCTCATGGGGGTGGGCTTGAACATTTAGGGCTGGACGTAGAATTTAGTTTGGATCTGAAATACCTCCCGGATTCTCATTTCTGGAAGGTGTAGTTCCAGTACAACGTTCAGGGATGATTTTTGGGGAAGTGGCTCTGACTTAATCAGAGATTTAGGGGTGACATTTTAGGTGTTAAGACCTAGTTAAATACTGAGTCCTGAGCCTCTGGGGATTGTGTTTTGCCTCGCCCACCCCCACAACCTCTTCCTCTGCTTTTTCCTGGTTGCTGTGATAGCTCCACCATGATCTCTCAAGGGACTGTGGCTACAGTAGACTCTGAATGCCTCTGTATGTAGGCAAGGTGCCTAGTACTTTAGTCTCAACGCAAAAGAACTTACATTTTCCCTTTTCACACCCTGTAGCTTTTGATGGGTAAAATTTGACCATTTTTTTCCCTCTTGTTTTTTTTTTTTTTGTTTGTTTGGGTTTTTTTGTTTTGTTTTGTTTTGTTTTTTTGAGACAGGGTCTTGCCGTATAGCCCAGGCTCGTCTCAAAACCCAAATCCTCCTATCTCTCCCTCCTGCAAGCTGAGATTATAAAATATACCATTGGTTGGAATTTTTGTTTGTTTTATTTGTGGTGGTAGAAGTTAAGCTGAGGGTCTCTAACATGCTAGACACCAGCTTTACAGTCTCACTGTTCAGGTGTGTTCTTTTTTGGGCCCTGCTTATCTGCACTTCTTTTCTAGCCAAACCTCCAAGTTTTTCAAAAAGTCCCACTTTGCCTTTACTTGGAGTAAATATGGCTAAAAGTCACCCATGACATGACGCCTTTGTACTGTGCAGCCTTGAAATTTCTTCCAATGGAATAGTTAAGTCTTTTTTTTCTGTATAATTTTTTATTAATATTTATTGAGCTCTACATTTTTCTCTGCTCCCCTCCCTGCCTCTCCCCCTTCCACCTGCAATCCTTCCCGAAGGTCCCCATGCTCCCAATTTACTCAAGAGATCTTGTCTTTTTCTACTTCTACTTCCCATGTAGATTATATCTATGTAAGTCTCTCTTAGTGTACTTCCTACTTTCTCTTCTTTAAGGTTCAGTGTGGCTGGCTTTATGTTGAGGTCTGTGATCCATTTGGACTTGGATTTCGTGCATGGTGATAGATATGGGTCTATTTTTATTTTTCTACATGTTGATATCCAGTTATGCCAGCACCACTTGTAAATATGCTTTCTTTTTTCCATTTGATATTTTTGCAAAGATCAGGTGTTCAAAGATGTGTGGATTGATATCCGGGTCTTCTATTCGGTTCCATTGGTCCTCCTGTCTGTTCTTATGCCAGTGCCAGGCTGTTTCCAGTACTGTAGCTCTGTAGTAGAGTTTGAAGTCAAGGATTGTTGCCTCCAGAAATAGTTAAGTCTTTAAACCCAGTTCAGAGTCTTTTTTTTTTTTTTTTGGTTTTTCGAGACAGGGTTTCTCTGTGGCTTTGGAGCCTGTCCTGGAACTAGCTCTTGTAGACCAGGCTGGCCTCAAACTCACAGAGATCCGCCTGCCTCTGCCTCCCGAGTGCTGGGATTAAAGGCGTGCGCCACCACCGCCCGGCCCAGTTCAGAGTCTTACAGCATGGCTAAAATGTACACAGGTTATTTGCCAGCGTGCAAAATTGTTCTCAAGTTCAGTTCCCGGCAGCACTGTTTTCTTCTACAACTCATGAACACGGTCTTTGTTGTCATATTCCCTTTGCTGTTTCTCTCTTCCCCCTCCCCTTTCTAAAAATTGTGGTCCAGTTGACCTCAAACTTATTATTTCCACCTCAGCCTCTTGAGTGTTGGAGTTATCAGTATGCTTCCCTCAATCTACTTGTCTACATTTCTGTGAGAATTATGGTCTTCTGAATTTGTATCAGAATGACCCACTAAGCTCTTCTTGTGTCTTCCTAGAACTTCCCTAACCTGTATCTTTAAAGTTTCCCTAATTCCTCCTAAAGTCAATTCTAAAAGCTTCTGGACCACATTGTGAGATACAGTCCCAGTGAACTCATCACTGGGACTGTTGTTTTCTATATACCCAGATGTCTCTGAGACAATGTCTGCGGCAGCTACCCTAAGATGGAAAGATCTCTGTTGGCAGATAGTTCTATTGGCTTCATAACTTCTGGGCCTTAGGTAAAGCAAACCAATATGACAGAGAGGGTGTGGTGGAAGCCACTGCTCATCTTATGGTAGCCAAGAAGCAGAAGCTGAAGAGGGGACTTGGAACAAGATATATCTTTCAAAGATATAATCTCAGTGACCTACTTCTTCTAATGAGGCCCTACCTAATATCACCACAAGCTGGGGACCAAGCCTTTGCACTTGGCCTTTAGGGAGCATTCTAGATTCAACTATTATTAACGCTTGGAGTTAGGGGATTTGTTTTAGTTTAGCTAAAACAAATTGAACATTCAAATGACAGAAGGAAAACGAGATATATATGCACCGATGCTATAGGTAGGATGCAATGATATGGAGCTTTTCTTTCTTTAAATTACATTTATATTTTGTGTGTGTTTGTGTATATCTTTACAATGCATGGCATGCCTGTGGAGGCCAGAGGACACCCAAGGGAGTTGGGAACCCAATGATCACACTTAGGTGGCAGCAGGCCTTTCTGCCTACTGAGCCAACTCACTGGCCCCAGATTTTCTTGTGATTTAGTAAACTATGAAGCAACTGTCAGCTGGGTGTGAGGAAGAACTTTCGACCAGTAAGATGGACTGGCAAAGGAATTGCTGTATTTGGGGTTTGGTAATAACTATTGTGCTGCTAGTTGCTTGTTGTCAACTTGACACAAACCTAGACATGTAGGAAGCTGGAATCTTGGTTAAGAACATTCCCTTCATCAGGTTGCTTGTAGGCAAACCTTATAGGTCATTTCCTTGATTAAGCATTAATGGGAGAAGTCCCAGATCACTGTGGTTGGTGCCATCCCTGGGTTGTGTAAGAAAGCAGGTTGAACAAGCCATGAGGACCAAGCCAGTAAGCAGCTTCCCTCCATGGCCTCTACTTCAGTTCTTGCCCTGTCTTCCCTCAGTGATGGATTGTGATATGGAAATAGAAGCTGAAATAAACTCTCTCCTCCCCAAGTTGCTTTTGGTTATGATCTTTATCACAGCAGCAGAAACTCTAAGACAACTATATAATGATGATGGCAAAAGTTTTTTTTTTTTAACTTATTTCAGAACTGTTGTTTTGATAACTTAAAAAAATTGGGGGTGGGTTTTACATAGAATCAACTATTGAATTTAAATGTGTAGTCTTAGCCTGTTAAGATGAAATAAAATGCTGCATGAAAAACTATGTAAAAAATACTTGATGTATGTACTGACCTCTAGATTACTCTACTTACCATTGTAGTGCTTTCTGTTTACTAACAGGAAGCACAGTGGAGAGAAGCCATATGTGTGCGATAGATGTGGGCAGAGATTTGCCCAAGCCAGCACACTGACCTACCATGTCCGTAGGCACACTGGAGAAAAGCCTTATGTGTGTGACACCTGTGGAAAGGCATTTGCGGTCTCTAGTTCTCTTATTACTCATTCTCGGAAACATACAGGTAAGAGTTACATACAGACTGACTGCAGTTAGAACACAGATAAAAGAATGGGAATTGGGCTCTTACCAAAGGTAGATTATAGACTTCTTAGTTAGATATCTACATTTGCTATTTTTGGAGCTATGTTCATGATTTTCACATAACTCTTAGATTAAATACAAGGTAGGTGAAAGTTTTATCTTGTAGCTTAGGCTTGTTGAAGTAGGATAATTCTGAAGATAATATATGAATTGAATTGAGACATGTTTTTATGACTAGAGAAAACCTCGTTAACCTTTTTTTGAGAATTTATCTCCTTTGAATAAGCATGTGAAGGGGGAATTAAGCTGGAGGTGGGTTAGACAACTTGTTTTGTGACCTGGGACCTCCTTTGCATAGACACTCTGAGATTTGGAACACAGACAGATGCATCAAGTGCAAATTACCAGTTCTGAAACCAAGGGACCCTTCGTTTGTAAGGTGGACTGCTAATGATCTTCCTCACATGTTTATATTCTTCTTGGATAATAAAGTAGAAGCAAAATTTGAAATGTGGCTTTAATTTTTTATTTTTTTGGTTTTAAGAAACACATTGCCCAGGAGATCTCTTCTAGGAAAGATAAGACATTTGCAGAAGTAATGTTTTAGTATGGGAAAAATATCAAGCTAGACAGATGATATAAAACTATAGTTTGTTATGTTGGATTGCTGAAAGTGCCTCTGATACAATGTAGAAAGGCTTTCATATAGATGATATTTTTAAAAGCTTACTTTAGATCACTTGTAATTGATAATATTACATTGGTATAGTATGCCACTTCGCTATCTTTTATTTTCCATCTAGGTGAAAAACCATACATATGTGGTATTTGTGGGAAAAGTTTTATTTCCTCAGGAGAGCTCAACAAACACTTTCGATCCCATACAGGTCTGTGTTTAGGGAGAACGTATCATTTTTTGTTCTCTCTTAATTCCTTTGTATGTAAACCTTGACTTTGAAACCATTGTGGGCTATATAGTTTCTAGTCATAACTTTGTGATAATAAGGTTTTAATGTATACATGTCAGGTTTTTATTTGTTCATTTCTTTATTTTTTAAAGTTGCTTAGAGTATAATTTAAACTTGGTTAAGAATTGTGTAGATTTTCCAAGAAATATGCCGGATGTCTATTAAACAAAAATGTTTGTAGTAAATGAATAAATATATAAAAAAGATGAATAGATAACACCAGGGAGCTGTCAGAATTAGCAGGTGGTGTTCTTATATGCAAGTTTCCAGAATAGATTATAATATCAACATGTTTATTTTAACATGTAATATGTAAATAGCATGAAGAAAATGTTGAATATTAAAAATTAAAAGAAAGGAAAATGTTACTTTTAAAATATATTGTTCATTTCTTTTCAAAAACCTGTCTTCATAATTCTTGTCCAGAGTAATAGGAGGGTCTTGGTGAATTCATTGCAGCTCCTGTACCCTCATGTTCCTTGGTTTTGGGGTAAGGCATTCCGTGGTTCTTCAGCCATCACCCCACCCCCGTAGTGCTGGAGAGCAAACTCAGAGCCTTACAGGTGCTGGGATTGCAGCCTGCCTTTCCACTACATCCCAGCCCAAACAGTTCTTATTTGAAAGCACTTATATTGTAGAATATCGTCAGTCTTCCTTGGAAGACTTCCTCATTGTTGAGGTGTATGAGAGCAAAAATTATAGCTATACTTTTTTCTAGTTCTGTAGCCAGATTTTAGCATATGAATGGCAGCTAATATGTATCTGATAGCAGTAAAACAGATTATTTTTTGAAAATTTCAGATAATGAACATGCTTAATTTCCCTGTGATTGGCTTCTACTTTCTATAAAGTAAAGTGAACCTGTGTCTAGGGTCTCATCTCACTTAATTTCCTGAGATTGGTTTCTACTTTCTATAAAGTACACCTTTGTGTCTAGGATGCTCATCTCACTGTCACAACCAGTGATTAAAGTGGCTTTTTCGCTTTATTTTTAGAACATTGGATAGTTTTATGTCTGCTGGCATGTTGAAAATACCGAGTTTTTAAAGTTTTTATCTTGTTTTTCAGGAGAACGGCCATTTATCTGCGAATTATGTGGAAATTCTTACACAGACATTAAAAATTTGAAGAAGCACAAAGCAAAGGTCCATTCTGGTGAGTGCATGTGCTTAAAGCCTGCGCTGCCCTCTGGTGGGGCCGGAGCAGGTCAAGAGAGACATTTCAGCAGTGTAAGTTAGACAGGTATTTAAAACTAGATGTAGGCAGATGTGGTGGTTCATGCTCATCATCTCAGTAGGCAGGTAGCTGAAGCAGAAAGATGTGAAAGAAAGACCAGCCTGACTACAAATCTAGTGAAACCCTGTCTCAAGCAACAGATAGAAAATCCCAAAGAAAACAGGACTCAAGGCTCCTGTGCTTAGGCCTAATAACCTAAATTGGATTCCCAGATCTCACAGATAACAGGAGAGAACAATTTCTTGAGAGTTGTCCTCTGACACGCATACACACACACACACACACACACACACACACACACACAAAACAAACAAGTAAATAAACTGAATTTTAGAAAACAAAAAGCAAAACATAGATATATACATATAAAGTAGCTTTATAATTTACAGAAAATTTGTCTTTCTAGTTCTTTTGAAATATTGAACTTCAGTTTTTTAAAAAGAAAACACAAAATCTCCAGGGTCTGGAGCGATGGCTCAGCACTGCTGCTCTTGAGAGGACTGGGTTAGAGTCGCAGCACTGAGACGGCAGCTCACAACTGTCTGTAACTCCAGTTCCAGTGTGGAGGGCTCTGATGCCCTCCCTCTATTGGCCCCACAGGCGTCAGTTACATGTGCAGGCAAAACATTTGTACATATAAAATAATAATAATAATAAAATACTTCAACTATTTCTTCCTTTAAAATTATGATTTGCCAGCCTGGCAGTGGTGATGCACATTTTTAATTCCAGCACTCAGGAAGCAGAGGCAGACAGATCTCTGAGAGTTTGAGGCCAGCCTGGTCTACAGAGCAAGTTTCTGGACAGGCTCCACAGCTATACAGAGAAACCCTGTATCTTAAAACAAGCATTTTTGTGTATATGCATACATACGTTTATACATACACACACATGATTTGCTGCAAAGCATAGTGGCACATATCACACACTGAACTTAGAGGACAGGCAGGAAGATTGTAGTTTAGTGTGAGCTACATGGGCATCCCTGCCTCAGAACAAACCATGACTTCGGAGTAGTTTCAAAAATGAAAGTTAATATAAGCAAGCTAAGTAGCATTACTCTCCAGAATGCAGTCTGGGTGATTTAGACAGTGGTTAGAAAGAAAAGAGCTATCGTGAAGAAGAGCCTAGAAATGTGGAAGGAAATAGAACTCTGGTAGCTCAAAAATGCTCCGTCAGTGTAGGCAGCCAGAGTGCAGACTTGTAGGCCTGTGACTCACTGTACTTACGGCATTCTACCAAGATGAAAAGTATCACAACTATGGAGATGATGATAATGGGTGTGATGGAATACTTACCTAGCATGCATGAAGCCCTAGGTGCAATATCCAGCTCCAAAAACTAAACATTCTGTTACTAAGTCATTGTAAGGGTTAAGGCAGAAACCTCTGACAGCCGCAGTGAGTTCAGCAGTCTAGTTAATATCTATGGAGTACACATGACTGCAGGGCAGACAGAGCTGAGCAAGAGCTTACAGCGTGGATGTAACTCCTGAGATCTAACGGAATAAGATTGTCAGACACGATGAATACAAGTGCTAAATAAGAGTGCTTCTGAAGCATCGGAATGGGCTTACGTTTAACCTAGACATGGCAGCCCATGCCTACAGTCCCAGCACTCAGGATGCTGAGGGAAAAAGGTGGCTGACTGCAAGTTCAAAGCCAGCTTGGGCTGCATAATGACAGTATCTAAAAAGGGGGAGGACTGTCAGAAAAGAAAGAATTTATTCTTACGAAGTTGAAGAGAGAAAAGTTCAGAAAATGGAGATAGCAAGATGGGTCATTTCAAGCAGAAGAGATTGTGATGAGTCACCAAGATGAGACAGCACAGGTTGTTTGTTGACTGGTTAGGCTGAAGAAGACAGAATTGCAGCTTAGTGAGACAGGTGATGTACTGTTAGCTGTCTGCTGAGGCTGCTGGCGTCCTGTCAGCTTTTCTGGGGTGGCAGCAACATGTTCAAAGCAGTAGTAAAGTCAAGCAAAGGTGCATCTTTAGTCAGTGTGACAGTTTCTCACCTCGGGAGAAATGATAAGCCACAGAATAACAGAAACTGCTTGTTAAAATAGCCAGTGTACAAAGGTTTATTTACTTTACTGCCGTATTTGGAGGGAATTAGAAAAGTTTAGCTGAGCATTTAGCCTCAAGGAATGTCTAACCCAGTTGAGGATTTGAGGCATGACTGAGTGGAGTGTTAAACAAGAGTAAGAGGAATGGGTGCCACAGGTACGAATATGAAATTTGATAAATATGTAATAAGGTTGATGAGAAAAAGCTCACCCAGGTTTCGAATGTTAAACCTATTTATGTACTGGTATTTGTGCTTGACTCTACTCTTGAAGCCCAGATATGCCCAACACTAAGTTTCAATACAATCAGGCACATTGGTGAGAGAGAAACAGGTCGCACATGGGTTTGGAGACTAAGCGTAATTTCTAGGACTTGTAAGTAGATTAGCCTACCTCAGACAATTCTTTAGTTTGTATTGTTAAAGACAGGATACTTTCTGACTTCCATTTCAGGTGCAGATAAAACTCCAGATGGCAGTGTAGAGGACCATGCTTTAAGTGAACAGGATCCCACACAAAGAAGTCCTTTGTCAGAAACTCTAGACGTGAAGCCTTCAGAGATGACTCTCCCCTTAGCGCTTCCACTGGGAACTGAAGACCATATGCTTCTGCCTGTCACAGACAGTCAGTCTCCAACGTCTGACACACTGTTGAGGGCAACTGGGAATGGATATTCAGAGCCACAGTTGATTTTTTTACAGCAATTATATTGACTTTGAGGGCGTGGAACTGCTCAGACATCCCTGGTAGTAAACAAACATCTCTGGTAATGTGCGTATTCATATTACTCCCCATTCATTTGAGCTGTGTGGCCATTATGTTATGTTAGAAGTAAAAGCACCTGACTCTGCATCCATCGGTGCTCATGTTGGTTTTGGCTCTCATTGTAAACAGCCTTTCAGGGAGAGACTTCCACTGTGGCAGCACTATTTTGGGTGGTAAGTTTTAGACACTGTTAAAGCTGCCTTAATTCCATTCTTATTTTTGACTTCTTTGTTCCTGAGGTAAAATCTGACCTGTGGATTTTTTTTTTATTGTTCTTTCCTAACTGTTTAAGCAAATCTACAGTACTGTCAACTTCAAAGTGTTTCTGTTTGTAAACCCTGTGGACCAGTATATAAACTGTTGGGGGTGTTAAATTTCATATTTATACCTATGAAAATTTAGATACTAAGGAAGAATTGTGCTATTTATTAATATATTCCTTTAGAGGTAACTTTTCTAATAGAGCCAAAAGAAGTATTTCTCTTAAAACCCAGAAAAATGTATGTACATTTTTGTTCATTTAGAATGAACTTAGTACTCTGGACAAAGCCAATAGTCAAATCAGTTTTTGTTTTGAGTTGAGACTATATTTTTTAAATAGATATTTGGTGTTTTTAAGTGGTCAAAAGACGGTTTTGAAATTTGATTCATTTTATATTTTATTAGATTTTTAGATTATTGGAAGTGAATATATAACAAGTTTGAAAATTTTGATAAGCCTATCTTTTATCGGATATGCACTTTTTAAAATAAATGTTCTAAAAAGAATTTTCTAGATATAAAACACATACTAGAAATCACTTGGCTTCTCAATTTGATATTATTGCATAGAAAAATCAAGAAACTTGAGTAGCTTGCCTAAAGCAACACACACATACACACACACAAATAGGATTACTATCCTAACTTCAATTATAAGCTACACTTTTTGATTATCAGTTTATTTACCATTTTATATTTGAGTTTTCTATAAGTATGGGCTTTTAAATTTTATAAATCAAACTACAACTTTTGGTTGTTGGCTCTAGCTTCTTAGTGGTCCTCTCATTCCAGGAGGATGTAGAGAATTCAGTGTCACCCCATCCTAGACGCTTGCTGCCACTTTCCTCCATGTTAATTTATCTCATTGCCTCACCCTTGTATTTTAAATTACAGTTTCAGAAGGTTAGTTCCCGTAGGACTGATAAAAATAGGACTATTTCTCATTTCTGCCATAAGTTATGCTTACTTGTTTTCATGATTTTAACTACACTGAAATAAATTCAATATGTTTACCAATATTGAATTCTTTAGTCATAATTCCCTGTTTGGGTTCAAGTCTCAGAAATGAGAAGACATAATAAAAGCACTCGGTTCTTCTAGACTGAAGTAGCGATACCTTTTCTAGAGCATATAGCGTTTTCACAGTAAATTACCACGAGCGAACAGACTTAACTGGAGAGAGTGTGAAATAGCCACCTTTGTGTAATGAACTTATTATTTTACTATTAGCTAAGAAATCTGTGTGTATGTTAAATGAGCATTCTGAGTTTGAATAAAATTTGTAAGGTTATGAAATGTTTAGCTAATTATTCTGGTTTAAGATAAATAACAATTTGCTGGAATGTAACAAGACTAAAGAAAATTTGAGAGTCAACCCCTTTTAACAAGTTTGCCCAAGTGGAGAGGTTATGTGTAATTCACATCTTCATTCATCCAAGTGTCTAATTCTTGGAGCCGCCAACCAGCTCCCAAATAAAGACATGGAGACTTATTTGAATTATGAATTCTTGGCCTTAGTTTAGGCTTGTCCCACTAGTTCTTAACTTAATTCTACACGATTCCATGCATCTACATTTGCCTCAGGGCCTTTACCTTTATTTCATTCTGTATGTTCTACTCTTCTGATTCTTCCATATCTGTCTGTCTGACCCCTGGCATCTCGCTGCCTTCTCTCCTCTCTCTCTCTCTCTCTCTCTCTCTCTCTCTCTCTCTCTCCTCCCCTAGCCTAAATAACTTCCTACTTCCTCTCCCTGCTGGGAAGTCCTTACTTCTTCGGTGTTAGCAGTTCACCTTATTAGACCAATCAGGTACCTTAGGCAGGCAAGGTAAAACAGCACACATCATAACACAGTTAACAAATGCAATACATTTTTACATAGTTAAACAAATATTCTACAACATAAACAAATACAACACATCTTTGCATTTTTTAAAGTGCTATGACTGACATAGTAGCACGTATGTGCAATCACAGCATTCTGTAAAGTTGAGACAAGAATACTAAAAAGATTCTAAAAACTGCTATGATGATGTCATAGTTATATAAGGGCAAAAATTGCCCAGCTTTCTCAAATGTAATGATAGTCTTTTTGTATTTATCTTTTTAAATTTTCAGCTAGTTTCACTTTATAGTCCAGACTGCCCTAGCTCTTCTGTGCAGCCTAAGGTGCCCTCATATTCAAGACTTTCCTCCCTCATCCTCCAGACAGGTAATACAATAGCTAACCTGGTATTTAGCATTTTGAAAGCTTCCAAATTTGTCATTTTCAGTATTATTTTATATGATTGCAATATGGAATAGGTAAGTTTTCTTTTTAATTTGCATTACCTGCATAGCTAAAAATTTTAAGTTGATGTGGCTTTAGTTATCTAAAATTTCTAGAATATTTAGTTATCTAAAATATCTAGCTCTTCTAGAATTTCATGTGAAGAAAGCCGAAAGCCTGGGTGTTCTCTCTTCCTTTTTCAGTACTACGCTGTTCCTTATTCGAGCCTGTGTGTATTGTAGATGTATCTGGTCATCACTCTAACACACAGAATCCCTGGGCTAAGCACTTTGTTTTGTTGTGATGTGGTGTTTTGGGAAAGACCTGTAAGTATTACAGAAGGTTTTGAAAGTCTTTAAAATGATGAATATCTTAGAAACTATGTTCTAATTTTGTTTTGTATTGTATTATTTAACTCTAGTGTTAGCTTTTAGACTTTTTAAAAAAGAAATTATAGATTATATATTATATGAATTTTGCTGTTTATCAAGGTTTATTTTGGGGTTAAGCCCACTAAACCTCTCAGGGTCCAAAAAGATTCACTACAGCAGGGGAAACTGGCTGGGGAAGGACAGCCCGACTGACTTGAGCATGGTCCTCCTGCTTGTTTCTTTATTGCTTGGGGGAAGGAAAGGGAAGGAGGGGGGAAAGGGGGCTGTGCACCACAAAAGCTTTCAGTTTTATAGGCATACAGACAAGTTAGCAGTTCTGTAGGCGGTAACAGTAGTATCAAACATGCATTTTACAGAATCAAAAACAAAACAAACTGTGGGCCTGACAAGGAGGCATCTTACACCTCAGACGGGGTGTGGCTGTGAAGCTCCCTGATAGCGGGGAACACAGCCTTGGTAGCCAGGGCCTGGGTGGGAGGCAAGGTGCCTGATTTGCCTCAGTGTAGTTGTCTGAGTTAAAAGGAATCTCGTTTGAGGCTTGCTTTTGACTCCAGCAGGATGTCCAAGTGAGAATTCTCTCTGAAGCTAGTTTTAGCAACTCAGGCCTTTTTCCAGTATAAGCAGTTCATTAAAATGTTAATCAAAACCAAGGTGAAGGGTAATAACAGCATATTAGCGGTTTGTTAAGGTAGAGCAGACCAGTAGGTTACACCTTTCTGAGTTTCTGTTAGAGCAGACATACTGCCTCCTGTTTAGGGCTCCTTTCTTATCAGTGAGTGCTGTCAGTAAAGAAAGTTGGGGGACTAGTTTTATGTGGATTTGGGCTATGAGAACAAAGGTTTGACTGAGTGAATGCTTTCACTCCAGGGCTTCACAGTGTGGGGAAGGCATTCTGTTGCCCTACAGGAAAAGTCAGATATACACTGCTGGATACTATAGGAGGGAGAAATGCCATAGGTTTCTACAGAATTCACAATGACCTATCCAAAAGGCAGGTGTTCCCACAGCTCTGCTGAACGGGCTTTTCCATGTGAATACACTTCCCATGGGTCTGTTTGTTGGTCTACCAGCTGTACATTTGCTCACCACAGCTGTTGAATAGTATTTGTGTTTAATTCCATGGGATCATTTCAGTAGACCATTTTAGAAAGCTTTATCAAGATGGAAAGTTCTGTCAGTTTATTGCAAAAATAGTTTATTGTTTCTGTACATTTTAATCCTACAGGACTGGCACTACCAGAATAGTTAAAGCAGATAGTTAATTATATACACTAATTTTTAAAATATCTTAAGCCAATAGTTGTAATGCCTTTACTCCTATCGGAGTGGCGTTTAAGAATAATGACATCTATACCCCACTCAGCTTCATCCACTGAGTCAGACGGTGCTGGGCAGATGTACTAGAAAAGCCCTGCAGCTGATCTCAGCATGTCCCATAACCCTGGAGCTGTCATCCTGAGCACTCCTGGTGCTCTGTCTTTGAAAAGCACTTAAAATGGAATTCTTGAAATAGAATTTTTTATCTTTTACATGGAGATTTTAGTCTATTTGGCTGGAAATAACCACCAAATAAAACAACTAAGTTGTGTTTTTCACTTACTCATTTGAACAACAATGAAATTGAGTTATAGGAACACTGTTTTTGTTTGTTTGAGACAAGGTTTTACCGTGTGTAACTGTGTTGAGCTTGGATGCATCAAATAGCCCAGAGTAACCTGAAGTCACAGTGATCTTCCTGCCTTAGACTCCTCTGTCTTGGGATTATAGCTATGCATTCATCTCTTGAGACCTTGGTGTCTTTTGCCCTCTTCAACCTTTTCCCCCATTTACTGATGAAAGATTTGCTGTATTTAAGGATTTATCAAAAAAACATAGTAACCTTCCCGAAAATGTACTAAAGCAAGTAACTCTACCCACCTTACAGTTAGGTGAGAAAAATCAACAACAGAAAAATAAGCCATGATGCCGGGTACAGTACAGGAGGTTAAGAAAGGAGGTGTGAGGGGTCAAGAGCAGTGGAATGGAGAGAGAAGGGGCCATTGTTCACAGGCAGACAAGTGAAATGATTGACGGAAGTGACATGTGGCTGATGGAAGAGGAGCTAGGCAGAATGCAGAAAGTGTCTGATGAGAAGCACCCATGCTTAATTATTTGAAATAGTTTTTGGATAGGGTGACATAGCCACATTTATAACCCACGATATCACACCCTCTGGTGGTTGACTACTGGTTTGTGACCTCAGTTGACCCAGTGCCTTACCAAGGAGAAGTGGTCCTTAGGCTGGCAGCCAGTCGCATTCCCAAGAACTTGGGTCATGAAATGCAGCAATATTAAGTAAGATAGGGAAATGACAAGGCCCTTCAGACTTGGTCTGGACGTCAGTGGAGACAGTCCAAGTCTACAGGAAGTGAAGTGTACTAGAGAAGCTGGTGTTGTAACCAAGAGATGATGTCTCAGACAGAGACACAGTGACCCCGTTTCATAGAGCAGCATGAAAATGGGAGTGTGGAGGGTAAATAAGGTCAGTATTATTAGGTTTTGCTTTGCTTTTTTTCCCTTTTTATGCAATGTATTCTGATCATTGTTTTGCCCTCCCTCTAATCCTCCAAGCTCTTCCACACTACTCTCTACCTGTATCCAACTTCAGGCCCTTTGTCTCTCTCTTAAAAAAGAATGAAAAAAAGGAAGAAAGAAAGAAAAAGACACAAAAATGGAAGCCAAAATATACAGCAAAAGACCAAATAAGACAGAACATACCCAAAAAAAATCAATTTGAGACAGTCTACAAAAAAACAAAAACAAAAAACCATATAAGTTTTTGTACGTTTGTTTGTGTTTTTAAACAGGGTTTCTCTGTTAACGGCACTGGCTGTCCTGGAACTTGCTTTGTAGCCCACACTGGCCTCAAACTCACAGAAGCATCTCTGCCTCCTGAGTGCCGGGATTCCAGGCGTGCACCACCACCACACAGTCTCCTGATAGCTTTTTGTGTCGGCCATCTAGTACTGGGCGTGGGGCCTGTCCTGAAGTGAGTGGATGTTGGTAGCGGATAGCTTCTTGTTTAGGGGTGTGAGCCCATCTGCTGCCTCTCTCAGCACTGGGACACTGTCTGACTTTAACTGTGCAGGCCCTGTGAGTACTGCCAGCCTTTGAATTCTTGTGTGCACCAGACCTGTTGCATCTGGAGGATACTGTTCCCGTGAGTCGTCCACCCACGCTGGTGGTTGTCTTCCTCCTGAGGTGGTGTGCAGAGGACATTCTAGTGCCATGAATGCTCATCAGTAGGACCCTCTGGCTAACAACTGAATTTTATGTAATCTATTCCTGGCACTGGAAGTTTCACTTGGTGGTGGAATATGTCTAGTTGGGGCATTCTCTCCCCTGCTGTTTGGTGACCTCATTTAGACTTTTATTTAAATATTTATTTATTATTTATACAATATTCTGTCTGTGTATATGCCTGAAGGCTAGAAGAGGGCACCAGACCCCATTACAGATGGTTGTGAGCCACCATGTGGTTGCTGGGAATTGAACTCAGGACCTTTGGAAGAGCAGGCAATGCTCTTAACCTCTGAGCCATCTCTCCAGCCCCATAGACTTCTTTCATGTATGTATATGTTTTAGGAAGTTTCTATAGTAGTGGGGTTCTTTGTGTTAGCTGTCCCTCCTTCACCTCTCTCTTCCTCACCCACCCCTTCCCAGTCAGTCCTCCCACTCTAGGCCCCTCCCACTGCCATCTCTTCATAACAATATATTCTATTTCTCCTTCTTTGGGAGATCCTCTCCTCCCCACTAATCCCTTACTTGGTACCTAACCTCTGGTTGTCTGGGTTGTAGCACACGTATCACAGGCTTTAAAGCTAAATTTTACTTACGTATTCTCTAGAAAAACACCTGATAGAATGAATATATATATATGTTTCATATGTATATCAAAATATATATATGGGATTTATTTGAGTGCTAATAGGCTATAGCTTGGCTAGTTCAACAATGGCTGTCTCAGAATCCTGAAAAAGTATACTTCTAATACCAGTGAAGGAATGAACTTGCCTGCAAGAGTGAGGTCAAGCAGGCAAAAAGCAAAAGTGTCCTTCTTCCATGTTCTTTATATAAGCTGTGGCCCAGATTTAAGGTATATCTTCTGACTTCAAATGGTTTAATTAAGAAAAATCCCTCCTAGTGTGCCCAGGTGCTTGAGGTTTAGTTAGCTCCAGATGGAGTCCAGTTGAGAGTCCAGAGCAGCCATCATAACATGTTTATCTTTTGGAAGTCAGCATGACGTTTTTCTTAGCTCCGTCTGTTTACCTGAGGATTTTGTACTGTTTATCAGCTGAGTAGTATTCTGTTGGATGAATACACCATGTTCTCATTATCCATTCATCTGTTGATGAACATCTAGGCTGTTTTCAGTTTCTGCCAATTATGAATAGAACAGCAACAAACATGCTTGAACAAGTGTCTCTGTAGTAGGATGTAGAGACCTTTGGGTATATGCCCGAATGTGGCAAAATCGGATTTCCAGGTATAGCTTCCTGAGGAACCGCCACACTGATTTCCATGGTAGCTGTACAAGTTTGCACTCCCTGCAGCAGTGAATAAGTGCTCCCCTTATCCCACATCCTCAGCAGCATGAGCTATTGTGTTTTATTGATCTTGCCTGTTGCGAGTGGTATCAGATGAGATCTCAAAGTAGTTTTAACTTGCATCTCTCTGATGACCAAGTGTTGAAACGTTGAAGTGTTTCTCAGTCATTTCTATTTTGTCTTCATATTATTTTTAAGGTGTGGCACTTAACTTTTTGCCTTCAGAGTTAAATCATTATTAGTATAATGTGACTCATGACTTTAATCAGCTATATTTAAGCAGGATCTCAGAAGATGATTGCTAAAAGGGAAGTAGAAGTTATGATACATTGTAATTTTATTCAGTATAAGATGTAGAGAGGAAGTGGAGTTCTCCTGCAGAACTTGTGTATCTCCTCAAGCCCTTGCCTGACTAAGGTAACTAAGGGTTAGCCTAGAAGGAAGCAGCAGCTTAGCCTGCTCTCACTGGCCTGCTCATCTTTTGGAAGAACGCTTTCTGTCTTATCTCTCAGATGGTATCCAGATGTAGAAAGGGGCCTAAATGACAATAGCATCAGAATAAATGGGTCTGAGCATTCTGCTGGCCTCTGCGGCAGTAAACAGTGACTGATGTGGGATTTCCCTCTGTGTGCTGTGATTACCATTAATGAATAAGAAACTGCTTTGGACCTATAGAAAGGCAGAATTTAGCTAGGCGGGAAAAACTAAGCTGAATGCTGGGAGGAAGAAGGGCGGAGTGAGAGATGCCATGGAGCTGCCACCAGAGATAGACGTGCTGATAGGCCCACAACCTCATGGTGATATACAGATTAATAGAAATGGGATGTAAGAGTTACTCAATAAGAAGCTAGAGCTAATGGGCCAAGAATTGATTTAATTAATACAGTTTTTGTGTGATTATTTTGGGTCTGGGCAGCCGGGAACCAACAAATAACATATAAAATTGCATCAAAACTTTCCTAAAAAAAAAAAAATAAATAACTGGTTCCTTCCCAGAACCAGTAGATGTCTGCTGAGCTGGCCTCACTCCAGTGAAGTGTGGCTTGCTCATTAAGATGCCATCTTTGGTAGCTCAATATAGGTCCAAATGCAGGTTGGTCATCTTCTATACCCATCTCCTGAGAGCCCTACTGTAGCACCTAGGAGTAGACCGAGACCTGAGAAAGCAAACTGCATTGCTAAGGGATTTGAGTATCTAACCCTGAAAGGCCATCTCTTGACTGACTCAGTAGACCCTCACTCGGCATATGATGGAATGCTTCTCCAGGGCAGTAGGATGGGTTACAGTTAACACTGATAACAGTGGATTGCACTAATAGTGAACAGAAAGGGAGTATAAACCCAGGATAGCCACTGTCTTTGCAAGGAAGCTTTCTATTTTCTTGTTTTATTGGTATTGACACCTGTCTGCAATGCCTAACAGTCTATGTGGAATACTTTTGAACTTTGAACTTGGGAATCTCCTGAAATCCACTGGGAGTTTCTGAGCTGCATCTTTTCTGCCATACAGTTTGGTTAAGATGTCTTTAGTGATCTTTGCTTATTATTCTATTGTCTGTGTTTTATTGTGTGTGTTTGTTACTTGTTTTTCATTATAAAAAGAATTAGAATAGCTCTATGGTTTCTTTGGATTGATTGTTTAGTCTCTATATTAAGAATCAGTTTTTTCTCAACAAGGGGCAAGTACACAGAGTTTAACAAATTTGATAAAAATAACTTGTTCTAATTTATAGAAGAAAAAATAGACTATAAAATATTAGTCTCTCAAAATGATGAGGCAAGTGTATGAGAACGATTTTCACGCTTGTTTCTTATAGATGTTGCCCAACTGGAACAAGAGCAAAGCCTGCGTTAGACGAGTGGTCGTAAGCATTGCCGTAAGTTGGTGACCAGTAGTAATGCCTTTTAAGGCCATTGGAGACCTCTGCGAGGTAGACACGTCCATCCACCACGTATGGCTCCACATCTGTACTGTCTGGCTTTAGCCGGCCACTCTCCAGCAAATCTGAATACGCCTAGGATTTGTAGAAAACTGTCATTAGTAATATCATTTGTTCAGTTTACAGTGCTTGTGTAAACACGTAATCAATTTAGCTGTGCTATTTTGTAGATTAAAATAAAAATTCTTTGCTGGGCAGTGGTGGCGCACGCCTTTAATTCCAGCCCTCAGGAGGCAGAGGCAGTTCAAGGCCAGCCTGGTCTACAAAGTGAGTTCCAGGACAGGCTTCAAAGCTACAGAGAAACCCTGTCTCAAAAAAACCAAAAAATAATAAATAAAATATTCTTAATAACATTTCTCAATTTCAGTATTGTTCTTGATATAAGTAAGTTGTATTATTTATACATAATGAAAGCATAATGTTATAAAACTGACTTCTCAGTTTTACCATATAAGGCATTCTTTCATACGCAAGTCCTTGTGAATCTTAGTTAATTCCCTGTAATGGTAATTTTGTGATCCGTGGTCACATTTTTCTTGTACCCTTAAGAGGTGGTGGTAGGCAAAGTGGCGAGCCCCATATGCTGGCACATGCCTGTATTCTCAGCTCTGCAGAAGCTGAGGCAGGAGGATGGCTGAGTTCAAGCCCAGCTGATTGCATAGCAAAATCTTGTCTTCCTCAAATAAATCTGATGATTAGTAGGACCTCACACCTCAGAATAAACAAACAAACAATAAATAAATAAACAACCCCATATGGAGTTCAGTTCAGATGAGTCCCCCGAAGTCAATATGGAAGTTTAGTTTTAAGAAAAGACAACTCCATAGTATTAGATGTGACCTACAATAAAAGAATTATTGTAGAGTTTTCTTTGTGTGTCCCTATGGCTTCTTGGTCTTAATTGCATCATACACTCTTATGAGCTGTTTTGTCAATAAAGTTGCCACTGTAGAAAAATGGGAGAAATTTTGACATGAAAAGATTTCCAAGTTTGGTTTTGCTTTCTCCAACAGAAATTCATTACTTTTGGCTGCATAGTTTACATAGCTTGTGCTGTGCGGACTCCCAAAGGCCACGAGTATTTCTCTGAAGATGATGGGTAGGTTTCAGGGCACTTTTAGTTTTGGCCATTCCTTCTGCAAATCTTACGCTATTTTCCTCTTCTTTCAAATGAGAGATTTTTTTTTTTCTTTTCACTATGCTTTCTGTCTCTAAAGGAGCATGATTCTCAGCAGCTCATGGAACTTTTTCCAAAGCTGACCACATACTCGAACACAACACGAGTCTCAACAGATACAAAAAAATTTGAAATACCATCCTGTGTCCTGCTGGACCACTATGAATTACTGCTATATCAACAACAACAGAAAGTTTGCAAATTCATGAAAACTGAATAACTTGCTACTGAATGAAAAGTAGATCAAGACAAATCAAAAAGGAAATTAAAAACTTTTTAGAATTGAATGAAAATAGCTGGGCGGTGGTGGCGCACGCCTTTAATCCCAGCACTTGGGAGGCAGAGGCAGGCGAGTCTCTGTGAGTTCGAGGCCAGCCTGGTCTACAAGAGCTAGTTCCAGGACAGGCTCCAAAGCTACAGAGAGAAACCCTGTCTCGAAAAAAACTAAAAAAAAAAAAAAAAAAAAAAAAAAGAATTGAATGAAAATGAAAACACACCATACCCAAATCTATGGAGCACAATGAAGGAGAGGCTATAAGAGGCAAGTTCATAGCACTAAATGCCTACATCAAAAAAATTGGAGAAATCTCATTAGTAACTTAACAGCACACCTGAAGGCTCTAGAACAAAAAGAAAAAAAAATAGCATTCAAAAGGACTAGGTGGCAGGAAATAGACTCAGGGTTGAAATCAATAAAAGAGAAACAAACAAAAAACCAACACAAAGAATCAATGAGACAGAATTGGTTCTTTAAGAAAATCAGTAAGACTGACAAACCCTTGTTAAATTAATTAAAAGGGGGAGAGAGGAGATCCAAAGTAATAAAATTAGAGATGAAAAGATACTGATCCCAAGGAAATTTAGAAAATCATAAGGACACACTTGAAATATCTGTGCTCCAGGAAATTGGAAAATTTAAAAGAAGCAGATAAACTTCTTCATATGTACCATATACCAAAGTTAAATCAAGATCAGTTTAAACAGACCTATAGCCCCCAGTAAAATAGAAGCAGTAGTTAAGTCTCCGAGCTGGACCTGGAGAGATAGATGGCTCAGCAGTTAAGAGCACTGGCTGCTCTTCTAGATGTTCTGAGTTCAATTCCCAGCACACACAAGGCGGCTCACAACCGTCTGTAACTGCAGTCCCACCCATGGTAACCCGCGCCCTCTTCCAGTGTGCATACATGCAGAGAAAACAACCTTATACACAAAATACATAAACCAATCTTTTTTTTAATGTCCCCTAACAACAACAACAAAGCCCAGGGCTTCAGCACAGACTTTCAAGGAAGAATGAATGCCAGTGCTCTTTCTCACTAATAGAAGGGCCATTGTCTAATCCTTTTCTACAAGGACACATTTACCCTGATACCTAAACCACACAAAGAACCAACAAAGAGCACAAAGTCCACCCACCACGATCAAGTAGGTGCCATTCCAGAAACGCAGGGAAGGTTCTGCGTAGGTAAGTAGTGTGAAGGACTTGGGGTTCACATGCAGAACACTAAGCGCTACACAGCTTCTACAGTGTCCTGTTCCTGTGTTGACACAGGAGGAAATTTGCTACATCAAATCAGGTGTAATTTCTGTTCTCATTTGGAGGAACTGGAAACTGTGACTCAGTGATCCTTAATACCTGTACAGAGCATCTGCTATCTTTCTGAGCAGCGACTTTGTTAGGGTTTAAGTTAAAAATTGCCCAAAGGATACTGTGACACCATTCTTTGCAGCCACGTATAAAAGGAACTTAGAGGTATTGGAGAGCCCCACAAAAGTCAGAACTGAAAACACTTACCACACATGTAGCCTCGTCGAATTTATTCCCCCAAATGTAGATATGAGATAATACGAGGTTTGTTTTCATCGACCGTGAAAGTGCAATGAGCCCTTCGCCTTCTATCTTGTTGCTCACTACGGACAATCTGTAGAAAGAAAATAATCATGGAATTCTGAAATCCCGCAAACAATCTTAAGTCAGCATCAGCACTTCTTAAATCCATCTTATTAACGGGTTTTAATGTGGTCATCCAAAATATTGGCTGTTTAGGTCCTTTAATCCAGGGAACCAATTTTCTATTAAATGTGTCATGGACCCATGAATGGTTCCAACATTTTGAAATTAGCCTGAGCCCCCCCCCCCCCCCCCATTAAGCTTTATTTATGCATTTGGGTGCTTTGTATATATGGCTGTACACCAGAAGAGGGCACCAGATCTCACAGATGGTTGTGAGTCACCCTGTTGCTGGGAACTGAACTCGGGACCTTAACCAGTGCTCTTAAGCACTAAGTCATCTCTTCAACCCCTATTTGGTAAATGTTTGACTACATTAATACATTACATATGTAAATATTGTGTTAAATACTTATGAATTTTTTGTTAGAATTCAGGATTAATAAGAGTTTTCGGGGCTGGAGAGATGGCTTAGCTCGGAGCATCTGCCGCTTGTGAAAGGACCAAGGCTCTGTTCCCAGCATCTGCCTTGGGCAGTTCGCAGCAGGTTTAACTCCAGGTCCAGGGCTGTGATTCCCTCTTGGGCCTCTATGTACACATTCGGTGCATGTGAGAACACATATGCATAAATAAAAGGAGAAATAAAATTTTTTTCTCATGAGTTTGAATACACAATTACCCTATTAGATTCACCCAATTTTTAAAATATACTACTTAGAATTTTTACTTATTTTGATTAAATATAAAAGCCATACTAACGCTTTAAGACTCCTGTTGTGGGAAGTTAGAGTTTCACTGAGGTACTTTGCACCTGCGTTTTCTATTCTGTTAAAAGAAAGATCTATTACTTCCAGGGTAGTATTGCTTTTCAGTACCTCGGCCAAATACACCATTCCATCGCGAGTTATTTTATTGCTGGGGAAGGAAGCATATTTAGGAATATTTTAAAAACACAAAGGAGTATCCTTATATTCATAAAATACTTGAGACCATATAGTAAGCTTTTTATTTTCTGTTTGCTGAACTTCGAAAAATAAAAATTCCCCATGAGAGGCCAGAGAAATGGCTCAAAGGTTAAGAGCACTGACTGCTCATTCAGAGGTCATGAGTTCAATTCCCTGAAACCATATGGTGGTTTACAACCATCTGTAATGAGATCTGGCGCCCTCTTCTGGCAGGCAGCCATGCACACAGGCAGACCACTGTATCTATAATAAATAAATAAATGAATCTTTAAAAGAATTAACCATCCCAACATTTTAAAAAATCTCCATGAAATAATGCTCCCACCTGTCTAGCAATCAAGTTATCACAGATGTATTACAGTAGAAGCTAACCTAATACAGCCTACAATAAAAGTTGACCAACAGTTATGATTGATAGTCACTGAAAACAGTGTCTAACATGGATGAACATTTGTGTAGAGTATCCCCAAGACTGAATCTTTGCATTATCATGTAAATTAACGCTCACCAGCTGACATCAAGGTAGCGCAGGCTGCTGTTCAGAGTCAGTGCACCGCACAGCTGCTGCAGGCCAAAATTTCTCATGTCATGTTTACACATGTGCAGCTCAACAAGGACGTGATTTTCTTTCAGCATGTGGCCCATGTGAACTGTAGACTCCTCCTAAAAATAGGTAAGATCTTTTCTGAGTTTGAAATATTACTTTTCCATTTCAAGCGCGTATATATTCTTGAAGTTAGGTAGAATTTTGTTTTGTTCTGTTTCTTGGTACAGGGTGTCGTTATATAGCTAGGGCTCTGTTGCCCAGCCTCCTGAGGACTGGTGGTTACAGGTGTATGCCACCACGTCTGGCCTTAAATTAGCTTGTTAAAAATATTACATTAAAGGCAAAACTAGGCCGGGTGGTGGTGGCGCACGCCTTTAATCCCAGCACTCAGGAGGCAGAGGCAGGCGGATCTCTGTAAGTTCAAGGTCAGCCTGGTCTACAAAGTGAATTCTAGGACAGTTAGGGCTACAAAGAGAAACCCTGTCTCCAAAAGCCAAAACCAAACCAGCAGCAAAAACATAAAGAAAAAAAAATAGGAAGGTTGAGCAGTGGTGGTCACACCTTTAGTACCAGCACTTGAGAGGCAGAGGCAGGCAGATCCCTATGAGTTCAAGGCCAGCATGGTCTACAGAGTGAGTTCCAGAATAGCCAGGGCTACATGGAGAAACCCTGTCTCAAAAAAACAAAACAAAACAAAAATTCTATTAAGACTCTTAGTTTAGGGCTAGAGATATGGCTCACTGGGTAATAAGGGCCTGAGTTGAGATTCCCAGTATTCATATAGAAGCCAGGGATGACCATATGTTTTCCTGAGACCTCATTGTTGGCTGGTAAAGACAGGCAGATCATGGGAGCTCATGTCCAAACAGTGAGCTTTGTTCAGTGAGAGGCCCTGTCTGAAGGCAATAATGCAGACAGTAAATTAAGAAGACCTCTGGCATTCTCCTCGGACATCTGCACACACCCTCACAGGCACACACAATCACATACCACAGACACATACAATCACATACCACAGACATACACGATCACATACCACAGACACACAATCACATACCACAGACACACAATCACATACCACAGACACACACAATCACATACCACAGACACACACACAATCACACACCACAGACACACAATCACATACCACAGACACACACACAATCACACACCACAGACACACACAATCACATACCACAGACACACACAATCACACACCACAGACACACACAATCACATACCACAGACACACAATCACATACCACAGACACACACAATCACATACCACAGACACACAATCACATACCACAGACATACACAATCACATACCACACACACAATCACATACCACACACACAATCACACACCACAGACACACACAATCACATACCACAGACACACAATCACATACCACAGACACATACAATCACACACCACAGACACACACAATCACACACCACAGACACATACAATCACATACCACAGACATACACAATCACATACCACAGACACACACAATCACACACCACAGACATAAAATCACATACCACAGACACACACAATCACCACAGACACACACAATCACATGCCACAGACACACAATCACATACCGCAGACACACACAATCACACACCACAGACACACACAATCACATGCCACAGACACACACAATCACATACCACAGACACACACACAATCACACACCACAGACACACACAATCACATACCACAGATACACACAATCACATACCACAGACACACAATCACATACCACAGACACACAATCACACCACAGACACACACAATCACATACCACAGACACACACAATCACATACCACAGACACACAATCACACACCACAGACACACACAATCACATACCACAGACACACAATCACACACCACAGACACACACAATCACACACCACAGACACACACAATCACATACCACAGACACACAATCACATACCACAGACACACAATCACATACCACAGACACACACAATCACATACCACAGACACACACAATCACATACCACAGACACACACACAATCACACACCACAGACACACAATCACATACCACAGACACACACAATCACATACCACAGACACACACAATCACACACCACAGACACACACAATCACATACCACAGACACACACACAACAAAAAACACTCTGCCAAGCCGGGCGGTGGTGGCGCACGCCTTTAATCCCAGCACTCAGAAGGCAGAGGCAGGCAGATCTCTGTGAGTTCGAGACCAGCCTGGTCTACAAGAGCTAGTTCCAGGACAGGCTCCAAAGCTACAGAGAAACCCTGTCTCGAAAAACAAAAAACAAACAAACAAAAAAAAAACACTCTGCCATATTTGCACTTGACATCTTTTTTTAAAAAAAAATAAAACCATCTACTGTCTCAGATCATCTTGTGTGTGTTTGTGTGTGTACTTATGTGCGTTTGTGTGTTTGCGTGTGTGCTTGTGTGTTTGTGTGTGTTTATGTGTGTTTGTGTGTGCTTATGTGTGTGTGTTTGCGTGTATGTGTGTACTTGTGTGTGTATGTTTGTGTGTGTATGTTTGTGTGTGTATTTGTGTGTGTGTGCCTAAGGGGAGCACAAGGGAGTGGACCAGGTCTCACGGCATAGCCTGGGCTGGCCTGGGAACTCATCATCCTACCTCGACCTCCCAAGAGTACTGGGATTGTGATGTGTACCACCATGTGTAGGTTCCAAATGAAATGTGTACCTTCTTAGATGAGTAGCAGGAACTTGTAAAAAGTAGTAACTAAGTGACTGAAAAAGAGGATGGGTAATTTGTTTTACAGTGACAATAATAGTTATTTTTAGAGGAAAACCAACAAAGCAATTTGTATATCTTATTTGTGTAAACCTTCCCCCATTCCCATAGTATTTCCCTGGCTTTGTCACCGATCATCATCTTGATGGCTTAAGACCCAGACATTTCTGTCTTACTCTGTTTTGAGACCCTCAGCTCTGCTTTATCTGCCTACCTTCCATCCTTTCATAGTGATTTAAAGTTATGGAATAGATCTGTTCAGTTCTAAAGTTTACAGTCTAGATGTCACTAGGCGAAGGGCATGCATGTGCACACATATTTCCTCCTCAGGGATGATCAACACCAGGTAATTTTAAGTTTTTATGCAAAGCAATTTTGTTAAGAAGTCCCTGTAACATACTTTGTGAACAAGTCACAGTATTTTCCTCATCTTTTTAAAAAACTGTTTAGACTTATTTGTGTGTGCACATGCTTTGCCGCTTCTGTCTGCGCACCATGAGTGTGTCTGGTGCTTGCAGGAGCCAAACACGAAAAGCAGCACTTTAAAATGTGCTAAATCCTCAGTGACAGAAAGGAGGAACAATGGTATAGGTGATTTTAAATTACGAATGATACTTTGAAAGTTCAAGGTTTATTTGAGCAGTGGCCTGTAAGTGCATTGTTTGAACCAGATAAAATGCTCGGGGCCTTTCTTTTGTCCTCTGTTGAGACCTGTAAAAGAACGGGTTCTTACTGTTTTTGTTTTGTTTTGTTTTTATTGAGCTATATATTTTCCCCCACTCCCTTTCCTTCTCCTCCCCTTCTACCCTTCTCCAAGGTCCCCATGATCCCAATTTACTAGGGAGATCTTGTCTTTTTCTACTTCCCATGTAGATTAGCTCTATGAATGTCTCTCTTAGAGTCCTCATTGTTGTCTAGGTTCTCTGGGATTGTGAATTGTAGGCTAGTTTTCTTTGCTTTAAGGGTTCTTATTCTTTATGAATTTTTCTTTTTTCTCTTTTTTCTTTTGGTTTTTTCGAGACAGGGTTTCTCTGTAGCTTTGGTGCCTGTCCCGGAACTAGCTCTTGTAGACCAGGCTGGCCTCGAACTCCCAGAGATCCGCCTGCCTCTGCCTCCTGAGTGCTGGGATTAAAGGTGTGCGCCACCACCGCCTGGCTGAATTTTTCATTTTATCAGAGGGGGTGAGCATGTGTGTGCATGCACATGTCACAGTGTGCATGTGGAGGTCAGAGGACAGCAGACAGGAGTCAGTTCTGTTCTTCTACCCTGACCTTCAACTCAGGTCGTCAGGTTTGGCAGCAGGAACTTTTTAGTCCCTGAAACGTCTTGCCAATCCAAGTTCTTATTTCCTTAAGGAGAAGAATCCCACCCAAAAGGATGTGGGGAAAGGCAGCCACACTGTCATCTTCCTCCAACAAGAGCCTTAATCTATAGACGGGATCAAGTTCAGAATTGCCAACTATACATGCACTTGCGTTGTTTCAAGATGTAATGGCTGAGCCATATCAATACAGCAAATGACAAAACAGTGGAGACTGGGCTTCCCACCTGGCTTCAAGCATACATACTCTCTTTCACCTAACTGTCGTACACAGGTTTACACAGAACCTAAGTTTCACAAGCTTGCTGCGTTAAGTACCAGCAGCTAAATACTTGCAAGTCACCAAGAAGTGGCGTAATTTTCCTTTAATACTTTTACAAGTATTAAAGTTCTAAGAATGCAGTGTATTCATGCACCATAAACCCCAGCTGGACCTTAGTCCGGTGCACAGTGTCGTCACTTTGAATACTGACCTGTTCTCCATACAGTATAGGTCGGTTCAGGTTTATCGCCTTGATCACTTTGTTCTGAGTCAGCACTGTGGTAAATGCTATCACGCTTTGCAGTCCCTACAAACAGGCAAATCGATAGAGAAAGTTGACAGTGTATCAATCTCCCTGTATTACAATCACAAGATAACTATCTGAGTTCTGATTAAATTGTTTGTGCAAAAGTTAAAACATCCCTTCTCAGAACTGAGTTGTTGCCATATTCCTCCACCCCACCCTAAAGTCTGCCGCGTGCGTAGGAAAGTTCCTAACATTTCAGTGCCCGTTTCCTAAGCGTGACCCTGGGCTTGCTCCTAAGTCCTTTAGGCTCCTCACAAATGAAGAGATAGACCCGTGGACCGCAGCTAAGTCTCATATGTGTACATCCTGTGCAAGCATTTTTTTTTTTACATTCTTACAGGTACATTATGTGAGTGCAACTGGGCAGGTCATTAAAACACATTTATTTATTTATTTGTTTATTTGTTTATTTATTATGTATACTATGTTCTGTCTGTGTGTATGCCTGAAGGCCAGAACAGGGCACCAGACCTCATTACAGATGGTTGTGAGCTACCATGTGGTTGCTGGAAATTGAACTCAGGACCTTTGGAAGAGCAGGCAATGCTCTTAACCTCTGAGCCATCTCTCCAGCCCCATTAAAACACTTTTTATAGCTCCTGCAGATCTCTCCAACTCTCTCACTGGAGGGCCTGCCTTCTCTCATCTTTGTGATGGACAACCACACACACACACAGCCTGTGATGCTGGTAAATAGCTTTCTCTCACCACCTCTCATCCAGCTGGTCAATAGTCTGAACACCTGCCTCCAAAAGAAGCCTCCGATCAGCTCATCTCTGAATATCTGCTACATCTGCCTAAGCACCCCTTGCCGCAAACACGGACGGCTGCAGCAGCTCTCCCAGTGGCCCACTGGCTTCTCTTTGCTGCCCTCCACTTTCCTCAGAGAAACTGTCAGATTGTCCCTCAGCTTCAAGCCTGCCCATGATTCGCATTTATATCAACGTCCCATTCTCTGCCCCCACAACCTTGCCATGAACTTCTGCTCTTGAGGGCACTCCTAACTCTGCTCACCCACCCACCTCCCTTGTGACCTCTCATAGTTTAATGTGGGAGGAGTTTGGTACTGTTTTGCTGTCTAATTAATTCCACCCTGTTCATTTGGGTTTTATTTATTGTAGTACTGAGGACCGAGCCTAAGCTCTTATGCATGCTACATGTGGACTCAAACTTGGCCCTTTTTAATTTAATTTTTTTTTATTTTGAGACAAGGCCTGGTGAAGCTGTCCAAACTGGTCTTGAATTCATTCTGTAACCCCAGGCTTCCTGACTCCTAAGTCTTACCTCCTCAGGTGTCAGACATCCATCTCATCAAACAAAATTACCTCCTCCCCAACATCGGAGTAGCTGGTTTCCTTCAAAGTACTTTCCTCTGTTGACTGACATCTCTCCCGAGTAAACTACAAACCCTCATGAGGGCAGAGACTATCTCAGATTCACGGTTGCAACCTTTTAGTATCACGAGTGACCCTTGATTCACTGCTTCCCAGAATTATACAGGCTACATTTACCTTTAAAAACATCCTTCCACTCAGTAGGCAGAGGCAGGTGGATCTCTGTGAGTTCGAGGCCAGCCTGGTCTACAAGAGCTAGTTCCAGGACAGGCTCCAAAGCTACAGAGAAACCCTATCTTGAAAAACCACAAAAAGGGGGCTTGAGAGATGGCTCAGAGGTTAAAAGCACTGACTGCTCTTCCTGAGGTCCTGAGTTCAATTCCCAGCAACCGCATGGTGGCTCACAACCATATGTAATGAGATCTGGTGCTCTCTCTGGCGAGTAGGCATATATGCAGACAGAACACTGTATACGTAATAAATAAAAACCTTTTTTTTTTTTTAAAAAAAAATCCTTCCAACCCATTGCAGATTTTGTGTCCTGCTGATGTGCATTGATCGTAGGTCATACAACAGTTTTAAAGGTCTCAAGATCTGAAAGCACGATCAAGAAAAGTGCAATTTAGAATTTGAAGGCATGCAAAAAATGCAGGTCTTATTATCTGGTGGATGAAGCCTCCAGAGCAGCTTTTAGCCTCAACACAGCTTTCCCAGGACAATGTACTCATTGTGAAATAGTTTCTGTCAGAGGAAATTTATATTAATACCAATGGAGTGGTATTTGTTGAATGTAAGTGAGCCTGTCTATTTCTGTAAGTCACATATAGGTTAAGATGAGTTATGCTTAGAGTTTAGACATCTCTTTATTATGCTACTTATTATCCAATTCTGTGTTTGCTGTAATATGATCTTTAAAACTTTATTTTATGTACAAGTGTCTTGCCTACATGTATGTATGTGCATTATGAATATGTAGTATCAGAGTAGGCACCAGATCCCCTAGAACTGGAGTTATTGATGGTTGAGAGCTGCCACATGGGTGCTTGGAACAGTCCTCTGTAAGAGCAGTACACGCTTCTAAGTGCTGGGCCATCTCTACAGTCCCTATAATCTGATTAACAGTCCACATCACCGTGTGAATGGAAAACCACATTTCCCACGGGGTAGAGTAACCATTGATAAATATCTTGTCAGGGTAGCAGTATATGCATACAGTTCCAGCACTTAGGAAACAGGGACAGGAGAACTCTGAATTCAAGCTGGCTTGGGCTACATGGTGAGACCTTTGCTCAGGAACAAACCAGAAGAAACCCATCCTCTAGCTTCTTGTGCTGTTCCCCTGGGAGAAGAACCCACGGCATGAACTGGCTCACCAGGTCACAGTCGCCCAGGTCCAGTTTCTCCAGGGACGAGTTAATCTGCAGCATGGCAGCAAAAAACATGCCACCCGTATTTTCAATCTTATTTCCCGTCATTCTCAAGTATTTGAGAGTTTTGTTTTTCTGGGGAAAAAAAAACAATCAAAACTTAGTTGCTTAAATTTGAATCCACAAAATTCTCAATTAAATGAGTCAGGAGGTCGTATTACTATCTGCAAATTCATTTTTATAGAGAAAGAGTAAGATATATTCTGAAAAAGTAACATTTAATTTCTCATAATAGCTGAATATTTTTTAAAAGATGACCAAGCAACAAACACCCAGGAAATGGGAGATTTTAAAGAGCTTTTATGGAAACTCTGTAGGTCTGTTTCATAAGAAAAGCGTATTCCCGAGCTGAAATTCACATGGCGAGAACTGGCTGTTCTACAGTGTTCTACAGTGTTCAGTCACCAGGCTGCGCAGCCAGCCTCTAACTACTTCCCGGACACTTCCCATCATCCCTTGAAAGCTGCCCTGTATCCAGCTGTCCTTCCCCATGTCCCACATTACTTGTGTGTGTCTGTGTGTATCTGTCTGTGCATCTGTGTGTCCGTGTGTGTGTGTGTCTGTGTGTGTATGTGTCTGTGTGTGTGTCTGGGTATCTTTGTGTGTGTGTGTATGTGCATGTGTCTGTGTGTGTGTCTGGGTATCTGTGTGTGTGTGTGTCTGGGTATCTGTGTGTGTGTGTGTAAGTGTGTGTGTCTGTGTGTATCTGTCTGTGCATCTGTGTGTCCGTGTGTGTGTGTGTCTGTGTGTGTATGTGTCTGTGTGTGTGTCTGGGTATCTTTGTGTGTGTGTGTATGTGCATGTGTCTGTGTGTCTGTGTGTCTGTGTGTGTGTCTGGGTATCTCTGTGTGTGTGTGTGTGTAAGTGTGTGTGTCTGTGTGTCTGTGTGTGTGTCTGGGTATCTGTGTGTGTGTGTGTGTGTGTGTGTGTGCATGTGTCTGTGTGTCTGTGTGTGTGTCTGGGTATCTGTGTGTGTGTGTGTGTGTGTGTGTGTGTGTGTGTGTGTGTAAGTGTGTGTGTCTGTGTGTTGAGGATCGAAACCAGTGCCTCACATGTGCCAGGCCAGTCGTTCTCAACTTGTGAGTCGAGAGTAGAAGACCCTTTCACAGGGTTCACATATCAGATATCCTGCATACCTGATGTTTACATTGTGATTCATAACAGTAACAAAATTACAGTTATGAAGCAGCAACAAAATAAGTATATGGTTGGGGTCCCCATGCCATGGAGTATTAAAGGGTCACAGCACTAGGAAGGTTGAGAACTGCTGTTTGGCAAATGTTCTGCCATTGAGATATATCCCCAACTCCCATTTTCATATTGTGTGTATGGGTGTTTGCCTGCATGTATGTACTTGCACCATGTATGTGCCTGGTGCCCATGGAGACCAATGAAGGATGTTGGATCCCGTGGAACTAGAGTTAAAGTCAGTTATGAGTTGCTATGTTGGTGCTGGGAACAGAATCCAGGTTTCATGCAAGAGCAGCAAATGCAGGAAAAAATAAAACAAAATAAAAACAAATAAAACTTAAAAGCAAAAATCCAACTGTTGTCTGAAAGTAGCTCACCTCGTTAGCAATGGCACAAGACTGAACACCATCTAAGAAGCAAGTATACACTGAAAACAATGTCAGAAACAGTGGCCTTCAGGCCAAACTTAGAAGACAGAGACCCCGCATAATCATAAAGGGAACACTCTACCAAGAAGATACAGTGATTCAAATATATTGTATAACAAACACTACTGGACGTAAAGTGGAAGGCCCAAATACAATGAGCTCTAGGCTCAGAAAACCTATCTCAAAAAATAAGGTGGCCAGCCGGGCGGTGGTGGCGCACGCCTTTAATCCCAGCACTCGGGAGGCAGAGGCAGGCGGATCTCTGTGAGTTCGAGACCAGCCTGGTCTACAAGAGCTAGTTCCAGGACAGGCTCCAAAACCACAGAGAAACCCTGTCTCGAAAAACCAAAAAAAAAAAAAAAGGTGGCCAGTGATAGAGGAAGACATAACATCAACCTCTGGCCTCCATACACACACACACACACACACACACACACACACACACACACACGAAAAAGCAAGAACAACCCAAATCCAAAAGTGATAAAATGGATACTAAGAGGATAATCCATAGACTCCACTAAACAAAAAGTTGATTCTTTGAAAAGTTAAACAAGAGGAACAAACTCTTAGCCAGACTAACGAGAAGAAAGACTCTATGAAGTTAGTGATGGAAAAGGTTTGTTACAACAAGATGAAATCTAAGATTCTTAAGGAATATGTTGAAAGCATATTCCAACAAATTGGAAAGTCTGGGGAAAAAATGAATGTTCTTAGGCACATGGGAACCACCAAAATTAAATCCAGAGGCTGTAAGTAAGGAAAGGATCCACATGGTCTCACACCATACACGGAAAGTCCTAAGTGGTCCACCCCAAAAAGCTGTTCAAACTGATAAGTCCAGGGAGAGCAAAATGCAAGACTTACCTAAAATCAATTCTATTTCTCTATTCTAGAAAAGAATGACCCCAAGTAATGTTAAGAAAATAATTCCTGGGAGCATGGGGACCATGGGAGAGGGCTGAAGAGGAGGGGAGAAAAAGAGGAGGTAGTAGAGAAAAATATATAGCTCAATAAAACCAATAAAAAATTTAAAAAATAATTAAAACTAAAAAAATAGAAAAGAAAAGAATTCCAAGCCAAGTGTGGTAATAAGCATCCTTAATCCCAGCACTCAGGAAGCAGAGGCAGGCATATCTCTGAGTTTGAGACCAGCTTAGCCTATACAGTTCTGTGGTGTAGGAGGTCCTTCTGTCTATGTGTTGCTTCATTGGTTAATAAAGGAACTGCTTTGGGCCTATAGCAGAGCTGTAGGGGAACAGAGCTAGGCAGAGAAAACTAAACTGACTGCTGGGAGGAAGAAGCGGGGAGTAAAAGACAGACACCGTGGAGCCGCCAGAGTCAGACATGCTGAATCTTTGCAGGTAAACCACTGCCACATGGTGATATACAGATTAATAGAAATGGGTTAAATTAATATAAAAGTTAGCCAATAAGAAGCTAGAGCAAATGGGCCAAGCAGTGCTTTAATTAATATAGCTCCTGTGTGATTATTTTGGGGCCAAGCTAGCAGGGCAGCTGGCAACTGAACAAGCAGTTCCTTACAACAGTTCTAGGCCAAATGAAATTGTCCCGTTTTAGTAGAATCAAACTGCATAAAATATAATGGATATAGTTAACAAAACAAGGACAAGACTTGCATACTGAAGGATGTAAACCACTATACATTTCAAAGGAGATAAAGAGCCAAGTAGTCAGAATATCTCATGTTCGTGGACTGGAATAGTTGGCATTATTAAACTGACAGGATTCCCCAAACTATTTACAGACCTAACTAATCAAAACCCCAGCTGCTTTTCTTCTTGAAATTGACAAAGTGCTCTTAAAATTTGTATGGAAATGCAACTGACCCAGAAGAATCAATATAATCTTGAAAAATTGTTACAGATCTATGACTCCTATCTTCATTTTAAAAAGCTATAATTGGGGGCTGGAGAGATGGCTCAGAGGTTAAGAGCATTGCCTGCTCTTCCAAAGGTCCTGAGTCCAATTCCCAGCAACCACATGGTGGCTCACAACCATCTGTAATGGGGTCTGGTGCCCTCTTCTGGCCTGCAGGCATACACACAATATCAGAATGTTGTATACATAATAAATAAATAAATATTTAAAAAAAAATAAAAAAAAAATAAAAAGCTATAATTTAGAAACAAGATAGCATGGTATTAGAGTAGAGACAGAGAGTGGATTCTCAGAGCCTGAGAGCACTATAAAAACAAGCCTCACATGGATGCTCAACCATTGTTTAAATTTATTTTTTATTTGTTGAGATTATGGTATAGTTATATTGATTCCCCTTCTTGCTTTCTTTCCCAAATGATGTTTTGAAAAAGATGCCAAAACAATTGAATGGAAGAAGGAATAGTTTTTAATGTGTGTCTGTGTGATAACAAAATATTTACATATAAAGAATAAAGTTAGACTCCTACTGCTCACTATATACAAAAATTAAGTCATGATGGGTGAATGAAAGAAAACTCTAAGAATCAAACAGGCATGTAAATCCTTGCAACTTTTGGTTAGCCAAAGCTGCTTTAGATAGAACACTTAGATTAAGGTATAATAATCCTACCAACTAAATAAATGTGAACCTTGTTGAGACAAAACATTTTGTTTAAAAGAGCATCAAGAAAGTGAGGGAAAATATTATCAATCATAAATCTGATGTTTTTTTCCCCCTCTGGAATATATAAAGAACACTTACAACTCCAAAAGACTGCCTGCCAGTTACAGGGTGCACCACTGTAGCCCGTGTGCTCAGACACCTGAAGCCAAAGGATCACGTGGGCAGAGGTTCAAGATTAACCTGAGCAAATGGTGATAGCATCTCACAATGGACAAAATCCAGGCTCTGGAAGGCGGCAAACGATTTGAACAAAAGCGCCTCCCGAGGAAGAACACATGAGAACCATGGGAAGGTGTTAACATCAGTCATTGGGGGCTCCTCACACACACGCAGATGGTCGGGACTAAGATGGCTAAAAGGTGCGACTACTTTGGAAAACAATTAGGCAGTTCCTTAATATATTTTTACAGAACTATCACATGGCCCAGCAATTCCACTCCTAGGTATTTGTACACTGTGTGAAAAAGTGTTGCTGTGATTGGTGTAACAGGATGCTGAACAGTCAATAGCTAGGCAGAAGAGAATAGGTGGGACTTCCAGGCAGAGAGAGAACTCTGGGAAAAAGAAAGATGGCATTTTGCCAGCAATCTCAGAGCAAATCGGATATGCCATACTGAGGAGAGGTAACCAAGTCAGGTGGCAGAACATAGATCAAAAATTATGGGTTATTTTAAGCTACAAGAGTTAGTTGAGAAAAAGTCTAAGCTAAGGTCAAGCTTTCATAATTAACAATAAGTCTCTGTGTCATTATTTGGGGGGTGGCAGTCCTGACAATAAAGTACTTCTATATATACCCTCCACCAATTAAAAATAATTGCCTACATAGAAACATGAAGGTGCAAAATAACATTATTCATAATAGCTAAAAGTAAAAACTCAAATGTCTATCAACTGATGAACACAATGTGATATACCCACAAAATGGAATATTACTGAACAATAAAAAATATGTTTTGGGGTTGGAGAGATGACCCAGCAGTTAAGACTCTGGCTTGCTCTTCCAGAGGATCTAAGTTTGATTACCCAAATAGCAGTTCACAACCATCCATAACTCCAGTTCCAGGGACGCTGACACCTTCTTCTGGCCTCCCAGTACACCAGGCAAGCGTGTGGTGCACAGACATGCATACAGACAAACTGTGTTACAACATCAATGAACCTCAAAAATATTAAGTCATATCATATATGATTCTATTTATATGAAATAATCATATATGTATATGATTAGTGGCTACAAAGGCTGGGAGTAGAAGGGTTTTCTGTGGAGGTTATAAGAATGTCCTAAATATAGCTTCTTGGTAGGGAAAAGCACTGCCCTGCAAAGGCGAGCACTTGAGTTCAAATCCCCAGCACGCAAATAAAAAGTCAAGCATGGCTGCACATGCCTGGAACTCCAGTGATGTGGGACTCCCCTCTGTATGCTGTGATTACCATTGGCTAATAAAGAAACTGCTTTGAACCTTTGTCAGGGCAGAACAGAGCTAGGCAGGGAAAACTCAACTGAATGCTGGTAGGAAGAAGGAAGGCAGAGTCAGAGAGAAGCCATGTAGCCCTGCCAGAGCTAGATGCTGGAATTTTACCCGGTAAGCCACAGCCTTGTGGCAATGCACAGATTAATAGAAATGGGTAAAATTAAGATGAAAGAGTTAGCCAACAAGAGGCTAGAGCTAACGGGCCAAGCAGTGATTTAATCAATACAGTTTTTGTGTGGTTATTTGGGAGTCTGGACGGACAGGAAGCAAACAAGTGGCCTCCCTACTATACTCCTACACAGAGGAGCAGAGACACCTGAGTGTTCAGTGGCTAGCCAGCCTAATCTAAATGGAAGGCTTCCCTCTTTCTGAGAAGTTTATTATGGCAATAATGTCGGGGGTCATAAAGGAAGACACTGGACTTTCTGTTCTGACTTTCATATGCAAGAACACAGGCACAAGCACCCACATATGCCTGTAAACCCCTCCCTGAGTGATCACATACATATACACACACATAAAAATATTCTAAAAATAATGGTGGTGGTTACACAACTCTATAAATAAACATTTGTATACAGGGTCTCACTATGTAACCCTGGCTGGCCTGACTCCTTATGTAAACCACACCAGCCTCAAAGTCACAGAAATCCTCCTGCCTCTGTGTACCACCATTCCCAGTCTCTCAAAATACACTTTCCTGGAGTTGAAAACTTTGGAAGAGTTATGCTTTGTGTATACAAATTACATTGCAATCGATTTTGTTAATTTTTTTAAGGAAGAAAAGGCTTGCAGTTAAGTTTGGAGATGGAGTTTATCATAGCAAGAGAGTGACGTGGATGGTCACATTGCAACCACACTCAGTAGGCAAGGCGAGATGGATGCTGGGGCTCATCAGACTTTCCCATTTTCCATAGTTTATCCGCTCTACATCCCATAGCTATGGAATGGTGCCTCCTGCATTTACTACAGACTCCTCAGAGGTATGTCTCCTGTGTGATCCTAAGTCCAGTCAGGTTGACAGTGACCTTTAAACATAAATCTACTCTTTGTCAACTTGAAACCTAACCACATCACTTATAAGCGACACCATCACCGTTTCTCAGAGGCACATGGCCATCTCGTAAGCATCACGCAGTGATCTCATTTCTAAGTTCCCCCTACGTCTTAGCAGTTCCCACTTCATACTAAAGTCCAAGATCAAAAATCTGCTCTGACACTCGAGGTACTCTCAACTGTGAGCCCCTGTAAAATGAGAAAAGAAGTTGCACACTTCCAGTATCCATTCCCATTCCAACAGAGAGGAATAAGAGGACATTGAAGGAGCAGACAGACGACAGCAAGATCCAACCTGGGGCTGCATGTCCAGCATCTGGTCTCCACTAGGGTTAGGTCTCTGCCCTTCCAGCTCTGTTCTCTGTGGCCAATTATGGCCTCTTTCAAGAGCTGGCTCCTCTTGCTGCCTGCAGCTTCCCTCAGTAAACATCCCATGTTTCTAACGTGCCCAGCACCCTAACTTTCCATTATCACTTAGACTCCACCTCTCATACCTGCATGCACAGCCCAGAAGCCCCACAGAACGATCTGCACACCAGAAGAGGGCACCAGATCTCATTAAGGATGATTATGAGCCACCATGTTGTTGGGAATTGAACTCAGGACCTCTGGAAGAGCAGCCAATGCTCCTAACCACTGAGCCTTTACCCTGTTTAGTAATTTTTTAATGAGTCCAAAGCTCTTAAGTAAGAGCCACACTTTTATAAACTGAACTACACTAAAACTATATATTTAAGGAACTAAAGAACTGTCTCCATGGTTAAGGGCTATCACTGCTCTTACAAAAGACCTGGGCTTGGTTCCCAGCACTCACATGATGGTAACAGTCACCTGCCACTCCAGTTCCAGGAGATCAAATGCCCTCTTCTGACCTCTGCAGGCACTGTATACACATATATGCAGGCTCATACACATAATAAATAAATAAATTTTTGGGACTGGAGAGATGGCTCATCAGGTGAAAAAAAAATGCTCTTCCAGAGGACTCAGGATCTATTCCAAGCACCCATGGGCATCTCACAACCATATGTAACTCTAGTTCCTGGGCATCTGACTTCCTCTTCTGGGTTCTGCAAATACTAGGAATGCATGTGGTGCAGAGACATGTATGCAGGCAAAACACCCATCTACAGACACACACATACACACATGCTCACACGCACGCATACACACATGCCTGCACACGCACGTACACAGTCACAAACCTCCACCCAAAACTGAAATAACATAAAGCTCACATTAACTTTGGTTATGCTGTTTCTAAACTACAAGAAGTTAAAATTCACAGATCAAATACAACTCTGCGGTATATAAATGCTTACATGTAGTGCTTTAGCAATCAATTCTCCACCTTCAGGTCCAATATCATTAAACATGAGGTTTAAGTAAGTGATACTTGGCTGTTTCTAGAAGAAGAGAAAGGAGCTATTACATTTTTATTACTGGAAATCAATTCATCTATGCACACAATTTATTTAATTAAAAATATCTCCATAGGGGGCTGGAGAGATGGCTCAGTGGTTAAGAGCATTGCCTGTTCTTCCAAAGGTCCTGAGTTCAATTCCCGGCAACCACATGGTGGCTCACAACCATCTGTGAAGAGGTCTGGCGCCCTCTTCTGGCCTGCAGACATACAGACAGAATATTGTATACATAATAAATAAATAAATGAATGAATAAATAAATAAATAAATAAATAAATAAATATCTCCATATAAAATCTAACAGAATTCCAGCAAAGGCAATCACTATTTAAGGAGAAAATCAAAAGGAAGTCACTCTTGTCTTTTTTTTTTTTTCCTTTTTGGTTTTTTGAGACAGGGTTTCTCTGTAACTCTCGTCTTTCAAACACTGCAATTGCAATATCATCGAAAGGAAAAGACTCGGTTTAGTTTCCCCAACAACTGAACGTATGGACATCTTTGAGTATTTAACCAGGGTGTACATACAGGTTTGCAAAAGACAACTCAGGAGCTCCAGGCCTCAGCTCTCCTGAGCGCAAACACAGGTGGATTTCCATGCATTCTGAGAATTAGACATACACCTGAGACTTAGCATCCTTGTGTTTCCATGCTTAGTGTTTGCCTGTGTACCATTGTCTACATGGGTTCCTCTCAGCAGAATGGCGGATGAGGGCTGTTTGGTGGCAATGTAATACCTGAAGCAGTTTTGCAGCGTAGTAGGCACCGACATCACCTATGAGGTTATATTTCACATCCAGGCCTGAAACACACGGGGGAACAGAAACCGGTGTTCCTTACGAAGAATGCTTCAAATCAGGAAAATGAAAAGCAGATGCTGTTCATTCTTACGCATACGTACCAGTGATACACGTCAGGTTACCTAAAACTTTGGAAAGAAGCCAAAAATCTTCACCTGTCATTCTTTGTGTTGGGACTAAGCGGTTATTACCAGCAATATTTAATGTGATTCCTTCCTCTGGTCTGCCAAAATAAGAAAGACAGAAAAAGTGAGGAGGAGACAATGTTGACAATGAGACAAGAGTTAAAAACCCGTCACATGCGAAAAGTAGTATCACAGAAAGTCAGAAATCAGTTTAACATAGCTAAATTCCCCACCATTTAATTTCTCACATACACCCCACTGTCCAGCTTTTTATTTCTTTTGTAATAAAACATTCCCGCAAAAAGAAATTTAAGACCCAGGCTCTGTTGGTGAACACTTTTTTTTTTTTTTTTGGCTTTTCGAAACAGGGGTTCTTTGTGTAGCCCTGGCTCTCCAGTCTGGCATCTAACTCACAGGCTCCTGCCACTGCATCCTGAGAGCTGGGGTTAAAGGTTTGCGCCACTACTGCCCCAGCTGGTGCACTTAATCCAGCACTCCAAAGGTAGAGGTTGGCAGATCTCTGTGATTTGGGGTCAGCCTCTTCTATAGAGCAAGTTCCAGGACATCTAGAGCTACACAGAGAAACCCTTACTCAAAACAAAACAAAACAAAGAAACAAAAAAAAAAGGGAAAGAAGTGGGGGCCAGAGAAAGAAATTTAAGGGAGAATGTGTTGGTTTCAGCATTTGATTCCAAGTCATCTACCCTTGAAGAGAATTTGCAGTGGAAGGAGCCTTAAGCAGCTGGTTACATCATAGCCACAGTCAAGAGCAGACAGAAGCCAGAGGTGGAGCGTTTGTTTTTAAGCCCAGCTCTTGTTCAGCCAGTTTTCTTAGACCACTCAAGACTGCATGCCCAGGGCTGGCACCGCTCCCAGTGGGCTGAGCCCTTCTACATTCACTACTAATCAAGAAAATTCCCCCCCTGGCTTTGATACAGGCAATCTGGTGGGGGCATTTTCTCAATTGTGGCATCTCTTTCCAGGTAAATCTAATGTGTCAAGTTAGAAACAAGAGCATCAATTAGAACAAAGGATCTGCCTGAGTTCTCCCAGCCACAGGAACCAAGATAACTAACTACGGGGGCTCTGGCTTGAGGGCTCCTGGTCCAGTGCTCTCCCCAACGTCAGATATTGCACCTGGGATTTCAAAGCCTTACACGTCTACCGAGGTCCCTAAATCAAAAGCTATGTCTACGTTACCAAGCTATCTTCAAATGGGAATGAAGCCACTGGATTTCACAGACAGGAGGGTACGTGAGTACTTTTGATACAGCTGAAGATTGATCTTCCTTACCCCTTTTTAATTTCTTCATCCAGTTTTTGGAGTATATCCAGTATAAAAGGGTTAGGGTTCCGTAAGTTTTCTGAACAAAAGTGATGGTACTGTTCCTGGAGGTTAGCCATAGACTCTGGAGCACTGGAAACATCAATGCTTCATCATCACAGATCAGTTATTCCCAAAGTTTTAACAACTGAGTTTCTTTCAAAGGAGTGTGTGTGTGTGTGTGTGTGTGTAGTGAGGATGAGGAAGAAAGAGAGAGAACTTAGAATGGAGGGAGGGGACCAAACAGGCTATAAATCCACCAGAGAGTGGGAAGGCGGTGGTTATGAGTGGGGGCAGACTAAGCACCAGAGGCAGGGAGACTGTGACTATCTGAGGGGGGTGGGCAGACTGTGTACCAGACCGGGGGCGGGGGGAGTTGTGGTTATCTGAAACGGGGGCAGACTATGCACCAGAGGAGGGGAGACTGTGGTGTCTGAAAGGAGGTATGGGCAAATTATAGCTCCAGTCAGAACCCTAGCTGAAAAGGAGCTCGGGGGTGGGGGGAACTACACTCTACCACGAGTTAGTTGTTCTTAGCCAAGGAGAAAGAGAAGCCAGAGCAGGGCTCCCTCCCACTGAACTACTTTCCTCAGACTACTAACTTCTTGAGATGGAAGACCAGCGCTTCTGGTGTCTGCTCCTACAAGCGCCAGGGAGCAGAGACAGGCGTTGACTCTCTAAGCTGGATCTTTGAGAAGGCAGCTGCGGCACCCTTGCAAAACAAACAGCCTTATTCTCCCCTGCAGGGAAAAGGACGCGAGCAGTCAGGCGGTCAGCCCCGCCCAGTCCTGCTCCATCAGGCTCCACCCCTGGAAAACGCAGGGTCAGGACCTCTCCCTTTGTCATCTTATTTCCCTTATTATCCTTTCTCCAGCCAACCCCCAACACACACTTTAAAACAAGCATCCCAAGCCAAAGTGGTGGCAGGAGCTCTGATTTTTGTGGGTGCCAGGCAAACGCTCATTGAGTACATCCCTTACGCTTTATTTGTTAAATTCATGGATGCAGACATACTCAAAGTGCATGCGGAAGTATGGTATGTATGAATAAAAATATCACGACGAAACCCCTTCTTCTATAAGCTAACTTAAAAATAAAAAAAAGTAGATGAAGAAATTAAAATAAAAGAAAATATGGGTGGTCTAGAAGTGGAAACCCAGAAACCTCTCAGGAGCCTCCTGCTTGTCTGGGATGGTTTCTTGGGGCTTCCACATACTCGGGCGCAGAAGAGACCCCATCACCTTCCCCAGACCCTAAAAGCAAAGCCTCAGATACTCCTCTGTTACCCTCTTCACAAAGTCAGGAGGATCAATGGCGGTCAAGGGCACCCCAGAGTTCTGCCTGTACCTGAGGCTTCTGCAGGTGGGATCCACCGCCCTTTGACCTGGAGCTACAGGGCCGGGTTCCTCTAATCCCGCTAGCCCTGCCGGTCTGGACCGCTGAAGAGTAAGGTTGCGGCTGGACTTTCTCAACCTGCTCCTACCAGGCCAGCAACCCGAGTTGCTCCCATGGCAACCACAGAGCTTCCTCCAGAAGGAAGGGGGAAGAGGCGGGGCTACAGTTGAGAGGGCGGGGCACACTGTAATCGGTAGACAGTGATCACTCACCTTAAATTTACCCACTCTGGATTATAGACACTGAGGGAGAGCTTGTAGGGCAGGGAGCCTACTCTGCTGGGCTAGGGACCAGGGCTACAAATCCCGGTGACCCAGCACTCCTCCCCCAAAAGGAAGCGAAAGGTTAAGCTCGGAATCTGATGATAGAACCTTCAAGAGGGGTTGTAATAGCTTAAATGGTTTTGTAAAGGAGTGAAGCCCCCTGGAGGGGTTTCCTGGAGAAGGCGACTTCCGGAGTAGTCTGAGATAGTCCGCCCCAGGGCCAAGCCGCAGAGGCACAGGTACAGACAGTATCTAGATTATTGAGGCAGGCAAGGCCATATCCGTGTGGAATCTGAGCATCTTCTTTATAGTAAGGCAGTGAGGGTTGTGGGTCAGGATGTTAGAGACCTTTAGGTGACGATTGCAGATCCACGGATGGAAGATGAATTTGGAGTATCTAGTCCGGAAGAAGAGCCTTGAAATAGCTCCCAGAAGCCCAAGAGAGGCAATAAGGCCTCAGCTAGCGTTGGAGCCAGGGACTCCCAAGGAGTATTGTAGGATGGCACGGTCAGGGAACAAGCAACACAGAAAGACTGAGACTAAGATCCCTCTTAGCCCAGTTTGCACCTTCCTCAAAGACCTCTTGGCGCTATCCAGTGGAGAACTGACCCTGCGCTTGAGAGCGCTCCAGACTGAAAGAACTGCCCCTCTTGACCCACGCGTGTCTATTACAAGTCGTTTTCTTTGGCAGGCTCTCCTGTCCCAGGCATGGTTTTGTTCCCTTGGTTGGCTTTTGGTTTGCCTACAGAAGGCTGGCTTCTCTGTCTACCAGCCTCACCAGGCAGGTGGGAGACTTCCCACACAGGCCTCCACTTATGGAGACAAAGTGGCTGAGCCCTAGATTTTTTCACCCCTTAGCTTGATTTGCAGTGATAACTCGGATGACTTTATGAAGATATCTAATATAGAAATCTCCCCAATATTTTCAGGAGGTGATGGCAAGAGCCATGATCTCTTTGCAAATTCCCACAATTCATTTGAGACTAAATTGAATAGAAGCATCTTAAAAGTTAATTTGTTTCTTTTATTCTGTTGTTCTCGAGATAGGGTCTCACTGTGTAGCTCTGGCTGTCCTGAAACTCACTATGTAGAGCAGGTTGATGTCAAAATCACACAGATCCACCTTCCTCTGCCTCCCCCGTGTTGGGATTAATGGTGTGCCCCCACTGTGGCCAGTTTTGAAAGATTTTTTTAAATTATGCATATATGGTGGGGTAGGGGGAGGTATGTATGTATGTATATATGTATGAGTTCAGGCGCCCAAAGAGGACAGGAGAGTATATGTGATTCCCCTGGAGCCTCCAACTGGGGGATGGGTCACACAGTTGAGTTCCTCTGCCAGAGCAGTAAGTGCTCTTAAAGGCTGAGCCATTTCTTTAGTCCCCAAACAAGCGATTAAAGAAAAGAAGAAGAGCCGGGCGGTGGTGGCGCACGCCTTTAATCCCAGCACTCGGGAGGCAGAGGCAGGCGGATCTCTGGGAGTTCGAGGCCAGCCTGGTCTACAGAGCTAGTTCCAGGACAGGCTCCAAAACCACAGAGAAACCCTGTCTTGAAAAACCAAAAAAAAAAAAAAAAAAAAAAAAGAAAAGAAAAGAAGAAGAAGAAATTAGGTGATCTGTGTGTTAACACAGGCACACAAACTTACTAGAAAGAGGAGTTTGCCCTTTAAGTCTTTTTTTAAATGTTTATTTATTCATTTATTATGTATACAACATTCTGCCTCCATGTATGCCCACATGTCAGAAGAGAGCGACAGATCTCATTACAGATGGTTGTGAGCCAACATGTGGTTGCTGGGAATTGAACTCAGGACCTCTGGAAGAGCAGCCAGTGCTCTTAACCACTGAGCCATCTCTCCAGCCCCCTGCGCTTTAACTCTTAACCTAACATGAAATGCAAGAAAATGTAAATTTTGTGTTGCAAAATAATTTCAGCCATTTAACCATTTGCCCGTCGTCGCCATCGCCCCCGCGCCCAGTTATTAAATCTGGTTGTCAGGGAAATCTGTTTTATTTTTTTTCCCTCCCTTTCACAGTATTTTAGATTTGGGATCATGGAACTTTCCTTAAAAGTCTTGTCAAAAGAAGTACTGAAACCAGAACAATTTCCCAAGGTTCTTCAGAGAAATGACTCTCAGCGGGTCACTGATAGAACCTATTTCGTTGATGGTTCCAACCAGGGTCTGAAAACCATCCCGTCAGAGATTTTGGCATTGAAAGAATTAGAAGAACTGCATCTGGAGAACAACCAGATTTCAGAAATCCCCCAGGACATTCAGAATTTAAAGAATGTCAAGGTCCTCTATCTGCACAAGAACAAACTGCAGTGTCTAAGCCCGGAGCTGGGGTTTCTGAGCAGCCTGGAGTCGCTGGACCTGAGTAGCAACCCGCTGCTCTACTCCTCCCTGCGGGTACTCAGTTGTCTACGCATGCTTCAGGAGCTGCGGCTCTACCAAACCGGCCTGAGAGAGGTTCCCTCGGTGATCTGCAAATCGCTGCACCACTTGGAGCTGTTAGGGCTGTCAGGGAACAACCTGGAATCGCTGCCCAAAGAAATCGTGAACCAGAGCAAGCTCAAGGAGATCTACCTGAAACACAACCAGTTCTCGGCTTTCCCTAGGGACCTCTGTGCCCTTTCCAACCTGGAGGTGATCGATCTGGACCACAACAAGCTTAAGGCCATCCCGGATGAAATCGGGAATCTGGCGAGGCTGCAGAAATTCTACGTGGCGTCTAACAACCTGCCTCTTCTACCGGAGTCTCTGAGCCGGTGCACCAAGCTCTCGGTGCTGGATTTGACCCAAAACCTCCTCCACACTCTCCCGCCCAGCCTGGAGCTGCTCACCGAGCTCAGTGAAGTCGGGCTGAGTGGGAACCGCCTGGAGAAGGTGCCCCGCCTCCTGTGCCGCTGGTCGGCGCTGAACCTGCTCTACCTGCGCAACACGGGCCTGCGCGTACTGCGGCGCTCCTTCAAGCGCCTGGTCAACCTGCGCTTCCTGGATCTCAGTCAGAACCACATTGACCACTTCCCCGCGCAGATCTGCGCGCTCAGAAACCTGGAGATCCTGGCGCTGGACGATAACAAAGTGACACAGGTATTACTTCCTTTCCGCTGTCACTCTGCTCGCCTTTCCTTGATGTGGCACTATGTCCAGCCAGAATATTGAACCAGCTACCGTCAAAACAACAAACAAACAAACACAGGCTTATCAAAGATAGCTATTCCACAAGGTGGCACTTTCTTTTCTTCCTTTCCAAATGATAATTCTAACCTCCATCTAGTGTTCTCTTAGGACGTGGGCTGCAGCCACTGGGGTGTTTTCATTCTTAAGGGCATGTGAGGCAAAAACCGAACTGAGATTACTCGGGAGGCAGAGGCAGGCGGATCTCTGGGAGTTCGAGACCAGCCTGGTCTACAAGAGCTAGTTCCAGGACAGGCTCCAAAACCACAGAGAAACCCTGTCTCGAAACCCCCCCCCCCCCCCCAAAAAAAACAAAAAAAACCGAACTGAGTTGTTTTAAGGATCAGAGTGCCAAGATTCTAGCCCAGGTTTTGGATTTCAGGGTCTCTCCTACTAACACAGGCCGCCCGACAGTTTCCATAAAGCATGGGCTTTAGCCCCTGGCCTCTGAAAATACATTAGTTCTTAACTTCCCATCCCCAGGACACTGAAGAAGAGGTTGGGGTTTGTTTGTGTGTTTGTTCTTTCCTGGAGATGCACTTTGGAATTGCTCAGCACGGCATTGTTGAGCATCTGAAGACCTCCAGAGCATAGGCAGAGAAGCTGCAGGATCCTCATAGAATGTGATCTAAACAATGTAAGCTAACTGAAGCTGTATGTGCCCCTGTGGAGACAACACCAATGGTGATGCCTATAGAATAAGGGGGGGGAAACCCCGATCAACAATATACCTTCATTCATTGCTGAACTGCACTAAATTACAAATATGGAGGCCAGAGACATGGACCACTGGGTAAAAGTGTTTGCTGCCAAGCTTGGCAACTTGAGTTTGATCCCGGAGAGGCAGAGGGAACATTGTGGAAGGACAGAACTGACTTCCACACTTACTGTGAAGCATACAGGCTCACAGGCACGCCTACACAAATAAATAAACATAATAAGCTTTTAATATTACACATATAAAATGAACAAACACATATATACCACCCACTTAATGAATATTTATAACAATAAAAGCATAAAAGGCAATAAAAACATAAAAAATATGAACTGGAAGGAGAGTAACCAAGTTCCCAAGAGTGGCAGCCTTTGGGAGGAGGGGTCAAAAAAGGCATTAAAGCCCCGTGCTTGTCTGGCATGTGGAAGTTCCTAGTTCATTCTCTAGAGTTATAAATAAGCAAATAAATAAATAAGCACACTAAGCTAGGGGTCTGGAGACATGAAAGCTGTCTGCAAGCTAGTGGCTGGCTAGCTGGAAGCACAATTCAGAGGAAAGGAGAGACTCTTACAAGGTGGAAGATGAACACTCACTTCCAAAAGCTGCCCTCTGACCTCCACACACATGAACTGACTGTGCCCCAGCACACACCTGGGGAGGCACTGAGAGAGTCAGAGAGACAGAGATGGGGAGAAATTCCTTTCTGTGGAGAAAGCGTTTCATATAACAGCTGGAGTAACTCAAATGAAGTACTTGTAGGAAGATTCTCTAGTTTTGCCCTCTGTTGTTACCATAACCACCGTGACCAACCACAGCTGGAGGGGGGGAAGGGGTTAATTCATCTCATACTTCATGGTCAGTCCATCACTGAGGGAAGTTAGAATGGGAACTCAGACAGCTGCTGAGGAAGCAGCATCCACGAGGACTGCTCTACACGGGCTGCTCCCCACGAGGACTGCTCCCCAGGAGGACAGCTCCCCACTTGCTGCTCCCATGCTTACATCTGGTTACCTTTCTTAGACAGTCCAACACCCCCCCCCCCCCCCGCAGAGGGATGCCTTGCGCAGTGGGTTGGGCCCTCCTGCATCCATTAGAAAGCAGGAAAATACTTCCACAGACATGCTCACAGGCTGCCCTGGTGGAAGCAATTCCCCAAGTGTGGCTCCATCTTCCCGGTGTGTTCAGTTAAAACCAAAAAGAGCTACTACAGAAGGATAACACTGTCCTAATCATGACTGAGTCATGAACGATAGCTAACCTTTTCTTTTTCTTTCTTTTCTTTTTTCAAGACAGGGTTTCTTTGTAGCTTTGGAGCCTGTCCTGGAACTAGCTCTTGTAGACCAGGCTGGCCTTGAACTCACAGAGATCCATCTGGCTCTGTCTCCCAAGTGCTGGGATGAAAGGCGTGGGCCACCACTGCCAGCACTAACCTTTTTCTTTCTTTCTTTCTTTCTTTCTTTCTTTCTTTCTTTCTTTATTTATTTATTTATTTCTTAAGGATTTCTGCCTCCTCCCAGCAACCGCTTCCCATTTCCCTCCCCTTCCCCCATCAAGCCCCCCTCCCTCATCTGCTCGAAGAGCAATCAGGGTTCCCTGACCAGGAGACAGAGACAGAGACCCACAGGGGAGCACCAGACAGAAATCTCAAGGTCCAAATCAGGAGCAGAAGGAGAGGGAGCACGAGCAAGGAACTCAGGACCACGAGGGGTGCACCCACACACTGAGACAATGGGGATGTTCTATCGGGAACTCACCAAGGCCAGCTGGCCTAGACCTGAAAAAGCATGGGATAAATCCGGACTAGCTGAACACAGCGGACAATGAGGAATACTGAGAATTCAAGAACAATCGCAGTAGGTTTTTGATCCTACTGCACGTACTGGCTTTCTGGGAGCCTAGGCAGTTTGGATGCTCACCTTACGAGACCTGGATAGAGGTGGGCAGTCCTTGGACTAACCTTTTTCTTGAGAGAAACTTTAAATTCTCAAAGGAGAGACTTGCATGAGTTCTGCTTGCTAACAAGAGAAACCCCAGCTTACCTCATGAACCAAACTGTGCTGGAGAGTAGACATGTAGACAAATAGGATTGGACTGACTGTGAAAATCTTTATGACCTGTTCCTCATGGTTTTTGGTTATTCCGATTGTATTGTTTGTGCTTTTGTCCCCTCCACTATCAGTTTGTATGACACTATGACTTAGAATCACAGGCTTGTTTTCCTTCCTTGTTATATGTGACCTTGAGACCCACCTGATTGGTTTCTGGCTCTGAAAACTTGGCAGTAGCTTCTCACCTTGCCTAGCTAAGTGTGAAAATAGCGTTCATTAGGTACCTAAAATGATTTTACCTCTGTAGTAAATTACTATTAAAAGAGAAAGCAAACCCAGAGTATTCAACCTCAAAATGTTCAACTATGGTGTCATAAATAATTGCTCCACGTTGCTACTCTGCAGATTCTGTGTCCAGAGTTTTCAATTTTTATAGTTTTTCTGTGCACATGAACGGATGCATGATATGATGTGTGTTCATGGGTCTGTGCACCACAGCAGGCACACGGTGCTCGGATGACGACTTTGTGGAGCTGTGCACTCACCAAAGACTGGGGAGACGCTAGGAGGAAGACAGGGAAATGAGGGAGGATTTCCCACGAAGAATGAAATCTGACAAAGGAGTGTGCAAGGCAAGAAATGACTGAGTATGCATCTAGAGTTTTCTTTTTAACAGTAAGGGGGAGCATCTTTGTTGCACAGTGAGTAGTGTGGTTATGAAAGTCAGAGGAAGGTTTTCCATGAGATTCTAGAGACCCAGAATGAGAGAGTAGTGAACCTGACAGTGACGTGGCTTAGTGAGGATGTCTACTCAAGTGATGCTCTTTTCTGTCTGGGAGGTGGTGAGGAAAAGAGGGCTGCAGAGCTGAACCAGCAACACATTCAGCCACTGTGTTAGGGTTAGAACACAGAATCTGCTTAAGGCCTTCCTTTAAGTTTGGTAGTCTGGAAAATAGAACCTAACTTCCAAATAAGGTGCAAAAGCCTTGGTGTTCAATAGAAGGCAAAACATGAAGAGACAGGGGGCTGGAGAGATGGCTCAGAGGTTAAGAGCATTGCCTGCTCTTCCAAAGGTCCTGAGTTCAATTCCCAGCAACCACATCGTGGTTCACAACCATCTGTAATGGGGTCTGGTGCCCTCTTCTGGCCTGCAGGCATACACACAGACAGAATATTGTATACATAATAAATAAACAAACAAACAAACATGAAGAGACAGATCCCAGGATCTACAGGGATCCTACAGGGAACATCCTAATGAGAAACACACTGAATCCGGATCTGCTTCCAGTGGAGTTCAGAGCAGTTTCAAAGCTGTCGGGTGAAAGACTTCTGGAGCTAAAACCAGGTGTCACCAAAGGCATCAATTCCAAGAAATAACTGTATTATGACTATTGTTATTATAATATTCCATATCATTGTAGTGCTCTTTCTTCCAACATCATCAAACATTCTCTAGGTAACACGGGTTCAACGAAGCAACATCAGCTGAGCCAGGTTGTGGAAAGCAGAGGAACGGCAGCATTGCCTATGGACTGAGGCTGGCCCTGTGCTTTCAGAGACTTGACTTCTTATCTGCAGAGTTGGCTATAAGATCCCATACCCATTCTCCAAAGAAGCAAGACGATGTTGTTCAAGGAAAGTGATAGCACAGATTCTAGACAGATACACTGTCCAGATCAATAGACCACACGAGTAAGGATGCTCATGGCCCACTCGCTGTTCTATGCTTCATTCTGTGGGTTAATGAGAAGGAGGGACTAGTCCCTGGGGGGAGGTAGTCTGGATGGCTTTCTATTTTGATTGAGAGATTAGGTCCTATATTCATTTATTTCCTGCTACACATGGTCCTTCCTATAATGCATCCAGTTTTAATCATGTCCTCACCTAATTATACATAGACATAAGATAGTAAATAGATTATCCTTAAAGGTTACTAGAGAACAGAATATTGCCTTACTGCACATGCACCCCTATCTAGTTGATTGGCCCATCTATTCATCATGCCTGAATATACAGGGAATATGCTTGACAAGATCCTATCAGAACTGGATTGTCACCAGCACAGGACAGTTTGTACTTTCGTTCAGAGATGTGAGTACACATAGCCTGATGTAGGTGAGAGTTCCGGGGGGGGGGGGGGGTGGCTCTGAGCTTGCATTGTTTGGAGAGGGATGTATGTGCACAGGCAGAAGACCTAGTGCCTTATTACAAGAGGAGGATGGGGTGTTGCTAACCCCAAACCAAATACTCTCCTACACTTGCCTGCCTCAACAGGAAACAGGTAGAACCCCAGACTGCTGATCTGCAAACATACGTGGTAAATTTTTTTTTTATTTATTTTTTATTTTTTGGTTTTTCGAGACAGGGTTTCTCTGTGGCTTTGGAGCCTGTCCTGGAACTAGCTCTTGTAGACCAGGCTGGTCTCGAACTCACAGAGATCCACCTGCCTCTGCCTCCCAAGTGCTGGGATTAAAGGCGTGTGCCACCATAGCCCGGCACATACGTGGTAAATTGTATAGTACACGTGTAAACATATATGGAAGCTGTCTGTTGCTAGGCGACACTAAGCAACTCCACGTTTAACAACTTGTTTCAAAGCCAAAAGCTCAACTTTAAAATTCTCGCCATGAAATTTAGTTAGCACTGGGAGTTTGTATACAACTTGGGTGGCGCTAACGTCAATACTGATCACCCACGACTGCCAGACAACCCAGAAAACTTAGTTTTGAGTGTTTAAAAACAGTCTCAACCTTAACGGTAGCTTTCTGGAATACTTCCAGTTACCACCGACCATGAGCTCACTTTCAAAACTGAAGATACTTGGACTCACAGGGAATGACTTTTCATCCTTCCCAGAGGAAATCTTTCCCTTAGTGTCTCTGGAGAAATTATACATCGGACAAGACCAGGGATCCAAGTTTACCTACCTGCCGGAAAACATCAAGAAATTGCAGGTAAGCCCTTCAATGAACAGACAAGTAGTGTATGCTGCCCTCCTCCACAGCCGATGCCAAGAGAACTCGAGGCAATGTTTCCAGCACTGCAGAAAACATGCATCTGCTTTAGATTTCCAGTCCCAAACCATGGGTTTCACATTTTGAGGCTCTCACTGTTACTGAATAAGCCCTATAACACTCTACTGTGATAGTTATTCAGTGTGTCTTGTAAAAATTCTTTTTCTGTCCTGTCAACCAGCTCCCAAATAATAACATGGAGACTTACAAACCATGACAGCTCAACCTATAGCTTAGGCTTATTTCTAACTAATTCTTAGAACTTAAAACTAACCTGTTTATATTAGTCTGCATCCTGCCACATAGCTCGTGACTGTTACCTCTTGTCCTGCACTTCCTGTATGCTCTGTGTCTCCTGGTATCACTGCTTTTCTGTTTCCCAGGGTCCCCTCTGTCCCCGGAAGTCCCACCTAAACTCTTCCTATCTAACTATTGGCCATTCATATTCTTCACTGGCGCTATGACCTCCCCAGCCATGGGCTTTTGACCAGGATTGTGGTACCAGGTACACATTCCCTCCTGTGTAGGCCTCAAATCCTAGCAGAGTGGTTGGTTACCCCATAATTCCCATGCCACTACTGCATCAGCGGCTCTTCAGTATGTCTCTCTACTGTTGTATTTTGGTATGTTCTATTTGTAGAAATGGACTCATACCATTTTCTATTTAATTTATATTTTTCATAGGTATCCCCTTGAAAATGACATTGCTCAGAAGTTAAAGTATCCTATGAGTAACATGATTGGGAGCCTAAATTTTGGTACCCAGGATTCCCTGCAAGAAGCGATGTGACCTGACCTTCTTGTTTAGTGATAGGTGATCTGATGATGGGTTCATAGTTCTCTGCTGAATCCTAGCAAGATAATTCCATTTACAGTAGTGTCTTTATAAAGTATGGCTATATGTAGTTTGTCTTTATTTATGTCTTTATGTAGTTTGGCTAATTTAACCTCTATGATTTGGGGCACTTAGTTGAAGAATTATAGCCATTTCCAAAAATAACTAGCTATTGGAAGGGAGTAAATGGTACATGCCGTAATGATCCAAGTTACTTTTCCCTGAGGTTCAGATAAAATTTAGTCACAGTATTCTCATTTCCTCTGTAAGTCCAATGGCTTTGTTCAAAAGCAATTGTTTTCCTTGATATTAACTCTGCAAATATTTATTAGTTATTTTTCTTGCCATGGGAACCAGTCCACCTCACTAAACCATCCAAGGAAGGATGGTTGATTTGGGCACACATGGGAGGGCTTTCAGTCCATCACTGGGAAGACATCGTGTCAGGACTGGCTTTGGGTATGGCAGCAAGAATATGTGGCAGAGGTTCCTTAACCTCGGCAGTCCAGGAAACAATGAGGTAGGCCAAAGCTAGGCCAAGTATGACCTCCCACGGTCTGGATTCTGCCAGTCAGGCCCACTTACAGGCTCCACCAGCTTCAGGAAGCACCACAGATTGGGGAGGAAGCATGAAACATGAGCCTTGAGGGACAGTTCAGATTCAAACGACAACAAACATGCTTCTCCCATTGTTCCAAGGCATAACTTCCCTCCTGCACATGAATGGGCACTCACAGGTAAGTCTGGTTATTGTAATGCACTTGCTAAGATGACTGTCCTCACCACACGTTCTCATGTTATGACAGAAGCTTAAAGAGCTATACATAGAAAACAATCAACTGGAGCAGCTGCCTGCATCCTTGGGGTTAATGCCAAACCTGGAAGTTCTTGATTGTCGGCATAATCTTCTCAAGCAACTCCCAGACGCCATTTGCCATGCACAAGGTGAGGAACTTCCCAGGTCCACAGCCCAGTAGGAGGAGTCCCGCACTGTTCATGAATGACTTCTTTGCCTTAAGAAAGACCAATTTCAGAGTTTGTAGGGCTCAGTCCTGTACCATTAGCCGCGGATAGCCTCTCTAGCCACCCGAGGGAAGCCAGGCGCCTCTGTATTTGTATAGCTAAGATCTTGCAAAGGTATTTATAAACTATTATAACAATTATACATTAGAATGAAAAAGCGAAGCAAATAGTGGTTGCTATGAAAGTTAGCATATGTCTATACTTACTTTCTTTACACTGCTGCCGGCTACCTCGACTGAACACATACGATATGGCAGCATTTAGAGTTCGTGTAATTATTTAATTATGTAATTTTGTTTATGTAATTAGGCACGTTTATGTAATTATGATGTAAATGTTTATCTAGATCACTAAGTCATTTGAAAAACCCAGAATGATGAAATCAGGGGATATTTGTGATTTTTTAGATTGACTTGGAAAGAACAATTACACTTGGTTCCTAAACACCCAAGTATTGCTTGGCTGAGTCACTCCTTATCCATGTATCATCCACCTGCCCTCCCATCCAGCAAGTCTTGGCTGAGCACTGGCTGGCTTCTCTTTATGCGGTGGAAGAGCAGACATAGGCAGACGTTTGATTTGATGGTACTAGACGCCAGGGATCTGGTGCCTCCCTCATCTCCAGCCACTTACCAGTGGATCTCACCTGGGTGACTTGCGGCATGGTGACCTTAAGCTACGTCGACCAATTACAATGAAAATCTTTGTAGGTTTGAGAGAGCTGCTGCTGGAGGACAACTTACTCACCCGCCTCCCAGAGGACCTGGACCACCTGGTGAACCTCAAGGTCCTAACGCTGATGAACAACCCCATGGAAGAGCCCCCAATGGCAGTGTGTGCCCAAGGCAATGATGCCATATGGAACTGCCTGAAGGAAAATAGACTTAGGAAAATAATGGCCACGAAGGTACGCACAACACAGGTTCTTTTTTTTTATTTAAAAAGTTTTATCCTTGGACAACTTTATGCATGTATATAATGCATCTTTTTTATATTTATTATGTACACAATATTCTGTCTGTGTGTATGTCTGCAGGCCAGAAGAGGGCACCAGACCTCATTACAGATGGTTGTGAGTCACCATGTGGTTGCCAGGAATTGAACTCAGGACCTTTGGAAGAGCAGGCAGTGCTCTTAACCACTGAGCCATCTCTCCAGCCCCCTATATAATGCATCTTGATGATGCCCCTTATTCCCCTCACCCCTGCCCTCAGACCTCTCCCAACCTGTCCCCCTCCCACCTTCATGTCCCTCCTCTCCATGCCTGCCTCCTTTAATAACTTATCAAGGTCAGTTAATGCTACCTGCAGGCCCATGGATGTGGAGCAGACCCTGGAGCACGGGAAACCTACTAGCACTCACACCCTGAAGAAAATTGATTCTTCCAGAAGCCACCAACTGCCAATGACCCCTCAGCTAGGGAGGGGCTGTCCATACTGGATTTTTGGTGGTTTGATCTTGTGCAGGTCTTGGACAGGCAGTCACAGCTGTTCTGCCCTGAGCTCATGAGTGTGAAGGCCATGTCGTGTTTAGAAGCTGACCCACCCTCCTTGGGTTCTTACGTTCTAGCCACCCATCTCTTCTGTGATGTTTTCTGAGCTCAGGGACCAGGGACTGACGGCTCAACAGTTACTTGTTCTCAACTCTTTGACCAATTTTCATTCTCTGTATTGACTGCTACCCACTGCTGTAAGAAGAAGGCTCGGTGCAGCACTAACCCACAGATAATAGTGTCCCCTTCCACTGTGTGTGTCTGGGCATTGAATTTGGCTTGTCAGAGTTGGTGGCAAGTGTCTTTACTCACTGAGCCTTCTCAATAGCCCTCTCAAATAATTTTATTGGAGTGAAAAAAAACCTTGCATGAAAGAAAGCAGTGAGATAAGATTAAGACACCAGAAATAGAAGCATTCATGGATCCGAAGGCTAGAGACCAGGATCTTGCCATGAACTAGGGTCAAAGGGGGAAGAGCCTTTGATCTTGCTCTCATCCAGTGACTCCATGAGACATTGGGGACCTCAGACAGGCAGGAACATGTTCTTTTCAGTCAGCATCTTCTGTACTTCAATCGGTCCAAGCCAACATCATTTCATACCCAAACAATATGATCGCTCCCCAGCTGGCACCCGGCTTCCACACTTGCCTCCCCACAGCATCCCTTCTCCTCAGTAATCCCACGGAAGTGGGTCTCACTAGTCTCTGGTGAAATCGACACGTCTTTGCCCTTCTGGAATAATAGTCAACTTCCTGATTCGATCCGATTCCCTATCACAAATCAGCCGTTCACTTAAACTAAATATCACAAATCTTCAAACAGCCGTCCACTTATACTAAATAGTAATACTTCCTTTTCTTTGTCAATTTAAACTAAAGCAATCATCATTAAATTTTAATACATCAAAACAATACCTAAGCTGCAATATGAAGGGAAGTAAAATTAGATACTTTTTTTGTACAAATTTTTTTTTCAAGGCACACCTACTTAAAATGACTGTTCTAAAAGAATGAAAATGGTATTTTATTGGTTATTTCCTAAAAGCATTTTGAAAGGACATGTGCTCTTCTTGCATATTTTATTTTATTTATTATTTTTTTGGTTTTTCTTTTTTTATAATATTAGGCTTTAATAATGAAAAGGTATTTAATAATGAAATAATAAGAGGTAGCCGCGGAGAACAGGAAAGCAGAAGGGAAGGCAGGGAGCACACCAGGAATATTTATTAGTAAGAAATATCCTCAGGGGACCACGCCCTACAAGCAAGGTGATTGGCTGGGGGGCTTCCCCTACTTAGAAGGACACGTGTGGACCCAAGCGGCCTTTCTGGAGGGCGTGGCTACCTCTGCTACAACAGCATCCCGGAAGGCAGGAGGTAGAGCAGCGGAGGCAGTACAGTGGGAAGGGAGGTTGTTCACTGCTAACAAAACCAAGGGCTTCCTCAGCAAAGCGTGCTTCCGGTGGAGCTACTTGGGGTCTTGTCTGGCGCGTTTGGGGCTCTGCTGTTCCTCAGGCAGTGGATCCCTCCTCACCGAGACATTCCTGAGGGAATGCAACCTCTGCACTTGCTGCAGGCGCAGGGCGAGCTCTGCGCTGCAGGCCTGCTGGACTGTCTCTGCTTTCTTTATGTCCCCGCTCAAGGCAACAGCCAGGGCTCTGGGGTCCTCCTTGGAGACCAGCTCCAAATCCTGATTAGATAAGCACAGCTCTGGGGCAGGCTTCTCCTTCAGCACAGTGAGGATCTGGCTTGTAAGGGCCACTTCGGAAGCCATCTCTTTGCTGATGCCCGTGTCCACCGCATCCACGTCTCCACCGAGGGCGGCTTTGGGCTCTTCCTGGTTGGAGAAGATGGCGCCCTCCTTCTCCAAGGCCCGGAGATACAGTTCTAGGAGCTGCTTGGACAGGCGGGCCTCCTCTCTCTGGTCAAGCACCCGCTGGAGCGCGTCCTGGAGCCTTTGGACAGTGGCACAGCTTTGGCAAAGCTCTTGAGCCAGTTCTGAGCACGGGATGTCAATGAGCACTTGGAGGTCCTCTTCTGGGAGCAGGATGATGCTGGACAGGTCCTCTTTCAGCTGCCTGGCTACATTCTTCCACTTCGCCCCGGCTCCGCTGTCTGTTTCGTCGGCATCAAAGGACTCTTGGGAAACCCAGGCTGTTCCTCCATCCGAATTGCTATACGTCCACTTCTCATTACAGGCCAATGCCACAAACTTGGTATTGGAAGGGAGACAAAGGAAGTAGTCGTCATCGTCCACTATTGTACCGTCCTCTGCCAGGACCAGGGTGACTGGTGTCAGGGACTCATCAATGGCCAGTACTTCGCAAGCTTTGCGCCTCAGCTCCTCGAGGCAGGAGGCCGCCACGCCGTGCTGATCGCGGTTGTGGTTGCGGCGCAGCAGACACGGCTTGAGAGGCCGGATATCGTCCGGGTCCGGGTCCGGGTCCGGGTCCGGGTTGCTGGCTCCCCGCGACAGCGCCATCCTCCTCAGAGTGCAACCGGATAGACTGGGAAATCACGGGCAGTCCAGAGCGGCTTTCCAGGTCGCGGGCACCCCTCCTCCCGTGGCCTGTCGGGAGATGTAGTTCTCGCCACAGCAAGTGACGTGACAGCAAGGCACGCCGGGAGATGTAGTGCCGGCTAATCGCTTGCGTTTCAGGGCACTACTGGAGTCCTGTGGTTTCTGGAATGTTTCCATCTTTGTCAGTGTTCTTCTCTGCAGCATGTTCTTCTCAGGGAGAGTGTTCTTCTTCTTCTCGGAGACGAAAGGACGCAAGACACAACAAAACCCACGTGGCGAGGTTTATTGCGGCGTGCTCAACAGTGAAGGGATTTTTTTTTTTTTTTTTTTTTTTTTTGGTTTTTCGAGACAGGGTTTCTCTGTGGTTTTGGAGCCTGTCCTGGACTAGCTCTTGTAGACCAGGCTGGTCTCGAACTCACAGAGATCCGCCTGCCTCTGCCTCCCGAGTGTTGGGATTAAAGGTGTGTGCCACCATCGACCGCCCGGCTTCTTGCATATTTTAAAAATGGGTATCCAAATATTCTTGCCATAAAATTGAAATAATTACAAAGAATTCAGTTTTCACAGCATTTTAAATGTTGACGTTTAAATATGGTTGACATTTTAAATATAGTTCATTATTTTAAAAGTCCCTGGTGGAATCTCAATGCCACTATAAGACCATCATCAATATCTATTCATAAAAATGTGGATAAGCCTGTTTTTTGTAGGCAGAAAGTTTGTGCTATGTTTTTTTCTTTCTTGAATACGGATTACACCATTTGCCTGCCTCTGCCTCCCTCTGCGATTGTTCATGAATCTCAGTTCTTGAGAGGCAGAGGGCAGTGAATTTCTGAGTCCCAGGCCGGTTTAATCCACATAGTTCAGGCCAGCTACACAGTCAGCTCCAGGTTAGTCAGGAATAGCTAGTGAGATCTTACCTTAAAAAAAAAAAATAGAAGGAAGAAATCAGTGTTATTTAGGGGCAAAAATCAAGGTAAAGGGAACTGAGATTGCTAGAAGCAATCTTATTCAGGGTGGGTTGGTGGGTGGATGTGTGTGAAGGCACACAGGTGCCACACTCAAGAGTGGAGTCAGAGAGTGGGAGAAACAGTCTAATACCAAATGGTCAGCTCTGAACACGCATAGGTCACATTATACAGACCAAGTAGGTTATGTTTAGGAATATCTCCATATATATATTTGTACGTATATACACGTCACAACAATTAGGGAAAAAATAAGACATTAATTTGAAAAAGAGCAAAGAGAATATATGGGCGGGTTTGGAGGGAGGAAAGAGAAGGGAGAAATGATGTGATAATATTATAATCAAATATAATCAAAAATCAAAGAAAAAGAATTAAAAGAAGAGCAGAGGTCAGACAAGAATCTGCAGGGGTATGTTCTCTTTTTTCCAGCAAGTGGATCCTGGGGATCCAACTCAGGTCACCAGCTTGGCAGCAGCTGTCTGTACCTGAGGAGTGTCTCGCACCTCATTGTTCCTTCCTTTCTTCTTCTTTACCTTCCTCCCCACGCTCTCTTTCCCCATTCTTGTGTGTGTGTGTGTGTGTGTGTGTGTGTGTATGTGTGTGTGAGGGTGTTGATTTGCCTGGGTGATCAGTCATCTTTGCAAAGATGACTGTCTTGGCTTGGGTGCAATAACAGATACCACAGAACAGATGGATTAAAGGGCTGGATTTTACTTTTTCCTAGTTAAAGAGATGGGGACTTGACATTAGGCTCCAGCCTGGCTGGGTTCTAGGGTTCTAGTGTGGTCCATTCCACTGGGGGCAGGCAGGGCTTCAACATAAAGGGGGAACACAGGTCAGTCAGCAGCAATAAGTGAGCAAGCTCTGGAGAGCGCACGCTGCCTGAATACTGGACAGAGGACTTGGGGCAGAGCAAACAGCTGAAGCAGAGGCCCTGGGTCAGCATGGTGCCTGGCGTATCCAAGCAAGAGTGACCCAAGTGTCCAGAGCAGATGACAAGGAAAGAGTAGATAAGAGAATCAAGAAATTATAGGGTACGGTCAAGTCAGATTGAGCCTTGAAGCCATGGTGAGGACTTCCGCTTTTGTTGGAGGGTCTGAGTGGGGTGCACCCTGAGAGGACAGGTGTTCTCACGTAGGTGGGCAGCAGCAGGGTCTGGGGAGCCGTGGGGGCTGCTTTTCGGCTCCTTCAATGAGAATGAACAGAGGGTACATTTGAGGTTTCTCCACTGCCCATACTCTGTGCTGTCATCCCTCACTGCTCTCAGTATTTGTGAAGTCAGACATTTCCTTATTTATTTTAAGGCAGGGTCTCATGTAGCCCAGGCCAGCCTGGGACTCAGTGGTATAGCCAGGGAGATCCCTGAACTTCCGACCCTCATATTTCTATCAAGCATGGCCACCAAAACAATTTATGTGGCATTGGGTCTCAGACCTAGGACTTCATGCATGCTTGGGTCAGCCAAGCTCTACCTCAAGCCCCTGTCATACACTTAGTGACCCTCCCACCACTGCACGTGGCCTTCAGAATTCATGGCCCTGTGGAGGCCCAAAAATATGAGCCCATTTTTACCTTGTCTGAAAGTCAGAGAGTTTGAGGTTGCTCAAAACTGTTGACAGCCCGGGTTACACAGCCTGACCTAGGGCGTGGTTACTTGGTTCTTTTGACATTAAGAGGGCCCACTTCACCCTGACCAATAGTCAGGAAATTCAGTACTTCTGCTCCTTTTTTTTTTTTTGACTTTTGACATAGGAGGTTTGACCTTGGGAGTGATTGCCTTTAGGATACTTGGTCCAGGGTGGGTTCACTGTAAAAAACTGAATGCTAAGGACTTGATATCTCGAAGTATTGAAGCAAGTAACTGTTCTAGTTGCCCTGCGGCTCACGTTAAAGCAGTCTTTTGTCTTCTTCCCCCTGGGGTCTAAAAGTACGTGGGAAACTAAATGCAGGGATTTCACTATTCACTGGAACTCCCTCTTGGGCGTCCTCCCTCCTGTATTTTCTGTTTTCTTATTTTCAATCGCATCCTCGTCCTCCTTACCATTTTACTGATCGCCGTTCCCCTACCCTGGTAAGTGGTATCTTTGTCAAAGCTGGTCTCTGACAGGCCCTCTACCTGATTGCCTAAAGACACAGTCTCTCACCCAGCTGGAGGATACCCTTTCTTTTAGCCTTGCTGGCCAGTGAGCTCTGAGGATCTGCCTGCTTCTCCCGTCCAGTGCTGGAGTTACAAGCACACGACACAGAAAATGTTGGGGATTTGAACTCAGCTTCTCACAGTTGCACAGCGAGTGTTCTTATTCATGGTGTCTCCCAACCCTTCACATAAGCTGCAGTCAGACCGTGGCAAACTATAACACTGAGTTTGGGTCCACCCTGTTTTCAGATTCAGGCATGGTGGCGTGGAAACATGGTGCGGAAAGGATATGGGACTTTTGAAGAGCTACTGAGAGCCCGAAGAAAAGGGAAAACCTCTCCAAAAGATAAGAAAGGGAAAAAGGCTGCTGCCAAAGGAAAACCCGCAAAAAGGAAATAAAAAATAACTGTGGAAATGAATAAATGAAAGTGAAGATTTTTTTTTTTTGTTTTTTTTTTCAAGACAGGGTTTCTCTGTGGTTTTGGAGCCTGTCCTGGATGTTGTTCTTTTTTAAAAAATGCTCCAAGATCCCCGCGGCAGTAGGTAGCAGAAATGCTGTAGGTCCCAAATGGTGGCGGTGGGCCATGTGGTGGCAGGCAGTGGGCCCTGGGAGCAGCCAGTCCCAGGCAGAGACGACTGCTGGTCCCCAAGCAATGGCTGGTCCCAGGCAGGGAGACACATGGCGGGCGGGCAGAAGACAGAAACATGGATAGACAGAACATGCGGGTTGAGGTTGAATGTTTATTCAGGGGGTTATGGAGGAGGAAGGGTGAAGGGGGGGGACAGAGAGAGAGGGAGAGAGCGAGAGAGAGCGAGAGAGAGCGAGAGAGAGAGAGAGAGAGAGAGAGAGAGAGAGAGAAGAGAAGAGGAGAAAGAGACAGAGAAGGGGGAAGCAGAGAAGTGGGGAGAGAGGCAGAAGCAAAGCTGCCTCTCCTAGAGGAAGATGGAAAAGAGAACGAGCTCAGGCCGGAAGCTGAAGATCAGCCTGCCTCAGCGGATGGGGAGGGGAGTGGGTGTGGCTTGTCTCTTAAAGGGACCAAAACCATAACATTCCCGGGTCTTCCTTATAATAAAAAGCACGCACGTCAAGGAAGCAGAAAAGGAAGGGCCCAAGATGGCGAAGAGCAGGTCAGAGGTAATGGGAGTGGGTGTGGCTTGTCCCTTAAAGCGACAGGAAAGCACAACACTGGAACTAGCTCTTGTAGACCAGGCTGGTCTCAAACTCCCAAGTGCTGGGATTAAAGGCGTGCGCCACCATCGCCCGGCTGAAGGTGAAGATTGTTAACAGAGCAGGAAGGCAGCGTGTCTAGAGCCCAGACACAGCTGCAGGACAATTATCCACCAACTTAAGGTTATCTGCAATAATGAAAGATTCGTAATGTTGCTGAAATGTTTATGGGAAGCATGACATAACACCTGGTAAGTGTTTCAAGATAGCTTGCTAGAGGAAAAGAGGACATGGGTTCAGATGAAGCGATAACCACGGAAGTGGGTGATGAGCATGTGGGGCCTTGCCTTCTTCTATTTAAAAGCATTTGGGGAAGTCAGGTATTTACAAGAAGTTCCAGGGAAGCATACAACAGATCCAAGAACCTTTCACAGAGTACACAATGCTAGGGTAAATAAAGCAGAACACTGATGTTGGTTCAGCCAACAGCACTTACTCAGATTCCAGCAGTTACGTGTGCATGTGTGCATGTGTGTACATTGTGTAGCTCAATGCAATTGTGTCACACAGAGCTTTGTACAAACACCGCTGTAGTCAGACACGCTGCTCTTCACAAGTCTCCACTGTGACATCCTTTTGCTGTTACACTGCCACTTCCCACCCTCCATTTCCCTCCAAATGATATCTACCTGCAATTTCCCTAAAACTTCTCATTGTATTTATTTACTCTCTGTGTGTGTGTGTGTGCATGCGCACATGTATGTGTGCGTGTGTGTGTGTGTGTGTGCGTGCGTGTGAAGGTGAAGGCGTAAGTCACAAACAATCCCACACCAGTTTGGAATTATGATCAATAGATCAATTTATTTAAAGGGGAAAAATCTTACAGATCACCGTCCCAGACAACAGCCCTCTGCGCAATCAGGAAGGGAGTCTAGTCGCTGGAAGTGGAGCAGGAAGTAAGAGAGAGCGAGGAGGGAAGTGGCCACTTTTTTAAAGAGGGAGACCACGCCCCAATGGGCTGGTATCTCAGCGGCTATTGGCTGGAGGAGTGGAAGGACCTCCCACAATGTGCATGCATGCTTGCGTGCGTGCGTCCACCATGTGAAGGTCTTGTGATCTCACGCAGGTCAACAGGCCTCGTGGCAAGCACCTTTATTTAACCAGCTCCAGGAATGACTTTTTTTTTAATTCTTCAAACTTTTATTGATTCCCTGCAGATTTTACACCATTTATCTGATCCCACCCATCTCCCCGCTTTGAATTCACCCTCCACCTGTCCTTGCAACTTCCCCCCAAATAAAACAAAATTTAAAAGAAAACCCCCAAACCAAGCAAAGCAAACAAAAGAAACAAAAACCAAAATGAAACAAAAAAGGGAGGGGGGAAGAATTCAGTCGTGGAGGCAGTAAGTGTGGCCAAGGGTGTTATGCAGCTCACCCTTTAGTCCTTCATCCTCACTTCCAAGCCTTCATTGTCGTGACTCAATGGTCTGGTCTGAGGTCTCCGGCCCCTGCTACACCACCTATCCTGCAGTTTTGGATCTGTAAGTTCATCCCCTTCTCCTGCTCCAATAGGTCATAGATGGGGTGGGTGTTGGGGTGGGCTAACTCAGAGCCCTGGTTCTGGGCCTGGGTGGTAGCTGGACTAGCAAGCCCACCAGCTCTCCCCCACCATCACCACCCAGGTGAGCTCTCCAGCACTTCCTCAGCAAAGCCCAACCAATGCAGCCTACGCAAGAGTGGAGCCAGTTCTCCTGTCCTCAGGCCCTCAGATCCAGGTCACCCTCATTTACACCACGGGGGCCAGGGGCAACTCTCCTGCCCTCAGGGTGGGCTCCTCGTCCCACCACCAACAGGATCAGCTCCAGTGTCCACTTTCCTGTGTGATGCCCGCTGTGGGCAGCAAGTGGGTACACCTTTCCCTCATCCAGGGCACCAGATGGCAGACAAGGGGGGACAGAGCCAGCTCTGCTGCTCTCCTGCCCTCAGGGCTGGCTCACTTGTGCCCCCCAACAACAGGGTCAGATCTAGTGTGCTGCCGAGGTGAGGTGCATGCCCATGGTGAAGGGTGGGGTCAGCTTTCCTGCTTATGGGGTTCAGCTCTCCTGCCCATCTCCCCATGGTAACACAGGAACACAGGCATGGACATCAACACAGACCGCAGCCACAGCAGGACCATGAACCCAGACGTGGCTCTCGGCAGCAGCCTTGGCCTTAATGACACCATGGCCCCGGGTGACAGCATAGGCTGCCCAGATCAGCATGGCTCCAGCAGCAGCATGGCCCGCAGGCACCAACATTACCACAGGTTATGGCCCAGACCCCGGGCAAACATTTGGCACTTGGTGGCAACATGGGCCACAGGCATCAGTAGAGACCCCAGCTATGATAGGACCATGGACCAGACACGTCCCTCTGCGGACCTGGCCCAGATGACACCATGGCCCCAAGTGACAGTGCTGGTCACTGAGATTGCCATGGCCTAGCAGCGGCATAGCCCTCGGACACCAACATGGTCATAGGTTGAGGCCTAGCCCCTGGGCATCCGTGTAGCCTTTGGTGACACCATGAACCACCAGGCACCAACACAAATCCTGGTTGTAGTAGGTCCACAGACTCAGACATGGTCCTTGGCAGCAGCCCAGGTCCAGACATCACCTTGGACTTGGGTGGTCAGCAGGCCATTTACATTAGCGTGTATAAATAAATTTGTCTTTGGGCTGTCGGCTCACAAAAAACAACACAGAGACTTATTAATTATGAATGCTTGGCCTATAGTTTAGGCTTGTACCACATAAATTAACCCATTTCTATTAACATATGTGTTGCCACGTGACTAGTGGTTTTCACTTCTCCTCCTGCATAACTTGCTCCCTCTGCATCTGGCTGGTGACTCCTCCTTTTTTCTACCCAGAGCTCTTTCTGTTCAAAAGTCCCGGCTATACCTCCTGCCTAGCTATTGGCTATTCAGCTTTCTATTAAACCAGTCCAATGACACATTTTCACACAGCGTAAAGGAATATTCCAGAAGCGTGTTCCTCACCACCCTCACCTCTTCTGATTCACACCTCTCTCCAGTCCATGAATGGCTCCACCTCACTCTCTCTTCCACCTCCCCATGCTCTGCTCGCTCACTATAATGGTGTCCGACTGTCTGGTGCCTCTGCACTTGGTTGAGTTCTTGCGCCCACCAGCAGCCACAGGGCATGGTGCGGAGCTGTTGCTGTTGCTGCGTCTCTGGCCCAGGGCTAGAGAACCCCCTGGGACTGACTTTGTAAAGCAAGCATAGTCTTTTGCTTAACTGGAAGCTTAACTGACCAGTGGGTCTGGTCAGTTTGTGTGTGGCCTTTGCTGTTGGGCATGTGGCCTAGGCTTGCAATCTGTTTAAGCGTGTACACATTACTGAATGGTTATTCATTATGAATAAAAGGTCTTTGTATAAACACAGATGCTTATGAATTCTTGGGGGGTACCCAAGAGGAAGGAACCCACAGAGCACCTCCTTCTAATGCTCTCAAAACCACCTCATCTTAATGACTTTACTTTTGAACAGTACTGATCTTAAATATAATTTTTTTATCACGTTTTAAAATTTATTATTAGGGGAGGCATGTGCATGCCATGGTACGTGTGTGGAGACCAGAGGACAACTTGCTTCGTCATGTAGGTCCCGGGGATTGAACTAAGATCGTCAGGCTTGGCAGCAGGCACTTTTACAGGCTGAGCCATCACACAGATTTTACATCTGTACATCTTTTAGCAATGGTTGTGTCTCTGTTTATTCACATAGTGTCATGTAGGGAAAAAAACCCAGGTTGACTTGCATGTATCGGAATACAAATGTATCTCAGACATTCTTGCTGTTCAGGGACTCAGCCTCTAGGAAATGAAACATTTAAAAGTCGCTTAGTGTAACACAAAACCTTTCAGTTAACAAACAAAAAGCAAGAACTGCCCAGAGGAAATGCCTATTGGAATTTGTTTGTTCTGGCTATAAAAGGTTTTAGTTTATTTTAGAAAATGTGATTTTGACACTATCTTTTAAATTATTGGCTATTAAAAAAAAAGAACAAAACAAAGAAAAACCTCACACGTGCTGGTGGCCATTTTTACTGTGGAAAGTTTATATTTAAGAAAAAATACAGCAGGACGAATCTTTTTGTTTTGTTTTGGGTTTTTTTTTTTTTTTTGAGACACTCAAATCTGTAAGCCAGGCTGGCCTCGAACTCACA